CGTCTCTGTAGGCAATACCAGAAATTAATCGGCTTGCTGACGGAGCGCGTCCCCATTCCAACACAGCATAAGTTAGGCGGGAATGGAATACCAAAAAAATGAGATGGTCTTAGTGCACTTTTCGAAACGTAGTTTTTCAAATCTCGTAACAGAAAAGGTTTGCACTTAACTTTTTCGCAGATACGTTAATGTGGACATCCCATTTTAATCCAGCTCAAGGTGTACTTCAAGAAACTAGATCGTTGACACTGTTGGAGGAATCAATATGTCTAGTCGAACAAGTCAATTCCACTGTTTTTTCTTTATTAGACCACCTGTATATTTAGGTATGGGGGTATAGGATTTTGTAGAGTTGTGTATCATCCGCAAAAAGCGTGTATCTATAATTTCCGTCAATAAGTGGAAGGTCAGATTTATGTATATATATATATATATATACAGGGTGACTTCGAAGTTGAGTCATTTATTTTAACAGTGAGTAGATCTGATCAAAAGAAATGTTTTTTTCCTTTAGCATTTTTCTGGTAAAATTAAAGTAACAAAGTTATAGCCCTTTGGAAGTTTGAGTACCGCCCTGTCTCAATAATAATATCATGCGCTCGTGTTTGGCAACAACGGATATAATCCGCCTTATCGGTTCATCCCATCGGAAACAAAAAAGCGAAAGAATTTGGAACGATGTTTTTACAATTATTTTATTCAGTTCAGTTATACATACAGTCAGTGTCAGTCGGTAAAGCGTGTGAATAGTGTCTGTTGCGTGGCTCAAACGAAATAAAAAATGGCACATGTTTATGCGGATCGGTTTCCCAATCGAGTGCAACCAATCCCTCGTGCCCTTGTTAATGTAGTACAACGGGCTCGTGAATCAGGTGACTTAAGACCTCACAGGGGACCTCACGATCAAATACAGGTCCGCACTGAAATACTTGTCGGGAGGATACTGTATAAAACAAGGTAAAAATTTTTTTTTATTTTTACACACATATTTTGGTTTATCTTCCTTCTACAATCATTATCTCAAAATTAATGACTCAACTTCAAAGTCACCCTGTATATATATAACGAGAATATCATGCGGAGAAAGGTATATAACAACAAGTAGGAAAATAATGGGCAAAATCCGCAAAAAGGAGGAAAGTGGATTCGAGCAGAAAATAGGATAGGTAACCCGAGCGATACGTATTTCTGCTAGTTGGCTTCATCAGGCCCGAAATGAAAGCACATATGAAACTACAAAAGTAGATATACGTAGTCGTGCCATAAGTTCTGTCCCATGATAATCTCATGATAAAAATGAAACAAGATAAGATATATTTATATGAAAGATATTATTTATTCGACAACATTTTTAGAATTCATAATCAAACAGTTTTATTCAAAATGTCCCCCCTTGGCCTTCACACACTGCTTCAATCTCGCGGGCCACTCATCTATCACTGCACGCACAGCTTCCAAAGGAATAGCTGCTGCTGATCGGATCAAATCCGCTTTCAGGGACTCGATATTACGGTGGGCTTTGGAGCAGGCCAACTGCTCTAGCAGGTCCCACAACTTGTAGTCTAAAGGATTGAGGTCCGGACTCCCTGAGGGCCAATCTTCCGCAGCAATGAACTCTGGCACATTGCTTTCCAGCCAGCGCTGCGTCCTCTTAGCCTTGTGAGCGGGGGCGGAATCCTGCTGGTAGACCCAGTGTTGGTTGGCAAACAATGTACCACTTAAAGGCTTGACGATAGGATCCAGTATGTCGCTCTGATAGTTTGCCGCTTTTGTTTTCACGCCCTGTTTACAGAAATGGAGCTGAGTGACCCCTTCGTAGGACACCCCCCACCAAACCATGACTGACGCAGGGTGGTGGCCTCTCTCAACTCTCGGAATGATCTCCGAAGCTTCCTGTGAACTCCTTGCATACACTTTGTCATTTTGTCGGTTGAATTTTTCTTCTATGGTGAAGATTTTCTCATCCGTGAACAAAATCTTTCGGAATCCCCCAGCTGCGTACCTCTCCAAGAGCTTCTTGGATCTTGTCGCCCTGATGTGTCGCAAGGTGGCCGTAAGTCGCTGGCCCGTACGTCTCCGGTAAGCCCCTAGCCCTAGGTCTTGTTTAATGATGCGCGACATCGTCCGGACAGGAATCTTCATTTCCCTGGATAGGATCTTCTGCTTCCGGAGTGGATTCCTTTGAATCCTGGCTTTTACGGCTTTGATGGCTGCTGGAGTCCTTACTTGACGAGGTCTTCCGCTTCTTGGCCTGTCATCAACAGAGGACGTCTCATTGTACCGCTGAATGGTCCTAGACACAAATTTACGCGATATTTGAAGGCCGCGTAAGAGTTCAAAAATCTGACTAGCACTGTGATTACACTTATGTAAAGCTATCACTGCAATACGGTTCTCTGCCTTGCCCCACTCCATCGTTATGCTTCGAGAGATCAATACAAACTGAGGTATATGTAATTACCCGAAAAGCGCTTAATCAACTGACACCACAATGTAAACAATCGGACAAGTATTAACAGGTCTACACTTGTTTGAAAACGAGGGACAGAACTTATGGCATGACTACGTACATGCCCACACATCTGGATTCGGGTGTAACCTGAGGAAACGAAGTTGGAGGGGAAAAAAAACGACACACGAAGTCCACAACAAGAGCCAACCTACACCTTGTATTATAAAATGGCTATACGACCTCGAATTTTCAAGGAGACGTCTAACCACCACCACGCAGCCGGTTATAGCCACTTGCTGTGGTACTTCAAGCCCAAAGGATCTACAAAGAGAATATGATCATGCGGAGAAAGGTATATAACAACAAGTAGGAAAATAATGGGCAAAATCCGCAAAAAGGAGGAAAGTGGATTCGAGCAGAAAATAGGATAGGTAACCCGAGCGATACGTATTTCTGCTGGTTGGCTTCATCAGGCCCGAAATGAATGCACATATGAAACTACAAAAGTAGATACACATGCCCACACATCCGCATACGGGTGTAACCTGAGGAAACGAAGTTGGAGGGAAAAAAAAACGACACACGAAGTTTCCTCAGGTTACACCCGTATCCGGATGTGTGGGCATGTGTATCTACTTTTGTAGTTTCATATGTGCATTCATTTCGGGCCTGATGAAGCCAACCAGCAGAAATACGTATCGCTCGGGTTACCTATCCTATTTTCTGCTCGAATCCACTTTCCTCCTTTTTGCGGATTTTGCCCATTATTTTCCTACTTGTTGTTATATACCTTTCTCCGCATGATCATATTCTCTTTGTAGATCCTTTGGGCTTGAAGTACCACAGCAAGTGGCTATAACCGGCCGCGTGGTGGTGGTTAGACGTCCAATTGAAAATTCGAGGTCGTATAGCCATTTTATACTACAATGTGTAGGTTGGCTCTTGTTGTGGACTTCGTGCGTCGTTTTTTTCCCCTCCAACTTCGTTTCCTCAGGTTACACCCGTATCCGGATGTGTGGGCATGTGTATCTACTTTTGTAGTTTCATATGTGCATTCATTTCGGGCCTAATGAAGCCAACCAGCAGAAATACGTATCGCTCGGGTTACCTATCCTATTTTCTGCTCGAATCCACTTTCCTCCTTTTTGCGGATTTTGCCCATTATTTTCCTACTTGTTGTTATATATATATAGATATATATATATATATAACAATATATATACAGGGTGACTTTGAAGTTGAGTCATTAATTTTCAGATAATGATTGTAGAAGGAAGATAAACCAAAATATGTGTGTAAAAATAACAAAAAAATAAAAAAAAATGTTACCTTGTTTAATAAAGTATCCTCCCGACAAGTATTTCAGTGCGGACCTGTATTTGATCGTGCGGTCTTGGAGCAGCATGCCCTCACCTGTGAGGTCTTAAGTCACCTGATTCACGAGCCCTTTGCACTACATTAACAAAGGCACGAGGGGTTGGTTGCACTCGATTGGGAAACCGATTCGCATAAATCCGTGATGCATCCGGGAGCATTTTGTAAAGACTGCCCCCCCGTAAATAAGAATCATGTCCACAAGTTCAGCATTTTCGTAAACATGTGCCATTTTTGATTTCGTTTGAGCCACGCAACACACTACTATTCACTCAGGATTTATCGACTGACGAAAAACATCGTGATAAACGTTTCAAATTCTTTCGCTTTTTTGTTTCCGATGCGATGAACCGGTCAGGCGGATTATATCCGTTGTCGCCAAACACGAGCATATAATAGGCAGGGCGGTACTCAAACTTCCAAAGGGCTATAACTTTGTTACTTTAATTTTACCAGAAAAATGGTAAAGGAAAAAAACATTTCTTTTGATCAGATCTACTCACTGTTAAAATAAATGACTCAACTTCGAAGTCACCCTGTATATATATCAGGGAGAAAATGGGACCTAAAACTGACCCTTGGGGACACCATACTCCACCCTACTTTTTGCTGATGATACCCCAGCAATTTTGACTATTTGTCAACTGTCTTGGAGGAACGATTTTAGAAAATGCATGCTGTCCTCACTGATACTGCATGCTTCCAATTTCCCAAGTAGTAAAGAATGGTCAATAGAGTCGAATAATTCGGCCAGATCCCAGAATGAGACTGTACTGTACGCATGATTGGGGAAACCTTTTAATATACAACAAACTAGGTTCAATATTCCCATCGTGGCACTCTCTCGACTATCACCTATATTTTTTGCAACAAAAATTGAATATACAGATTGCCATCACATTGGCGACAGGTCGTCAATTCTGATAAACTATTACTCGATAAAATGTATTCAAAGTAAAAAATACCTTGTTATTACCTAAAAACGCAAACAACTTTCTGCATCCGTTTTGCGTAACTTGAAAAGTGACATTTATCAATTTTTATGACATTATGTATATTTATTTTGACATTATGAACTACTAAGTGCATAAGATGATATTCTTCCGATTTTTTTTGACATTATGTCTTTTACGTTTTAACCCTGCCGGTAGAACTAATAATAAAAATATCTTACTTTCTTTCCTTTATTAGCCTTGACCTCCGCCATGATAGCCTTCTCAGCCTCCTCAACGTTCTTTTTCCTATTCCTGTCGTTGATGTACGAAATACTACTGATCGTCGACGTCCTCAGTTTATCCAACTCCGACGCTCTCTCTTCCAGGTCCGACAATTTCTGACCTAAAGCGCGCCCCTGTTCATCGTCGCCCCGCGTCAAAGCCGCTTCACGCTCGCGCATAAGTCGCGCCTTTTCCATCGCGTAGTTGAACGGGTTGGATTTGAAGCGCTTCTTCTCTTCGATCTAAAAAAATGGCGTCAGGTAGGTTGACTATGTACTTCCACATGCAATGTTGTCACCAGTTTATAAAGTATTATGTCCAAATGAAAACATATTTTTAAAATTACAAATTCTACAAAATAAAGATATCTGAACAATTTAAATGAAAATAGATCTGCTAAGATTAAGTCTAAGTTGGAAGAACTGCCACTTCACAAAATAACTATGAAAATAGAGGAAGTATAGATTTTCACCAACAAATTGTGATAGCAGCATACCTATCAAATATGTATTTCAAAAGGGAGTGTTTGAATTTAATAAAATGAATAATGATATCAAGGATCCGTATTAGGTCCAATCAAATTCTTAGTCTATATCACTTTGGCTAGACACCTATACATTAAATCAAGACAAGAATTAGTAGTGATTTACAATCAATCAAAAAATGGTGTGACAACAATTACTTGACTTTTGAATAAATAAATAATAAATGCTCCCTTGATTATATAAATTTAAATACACAAAACAGACACCATCAATTTTTGGGATTGACCACTGATCATATATTAGATTTTACTAATCATATACACAAATTGCTTAATCAAATAGTAAAGATTTTCTTCATTATAAGAACAATTAGTTACAACGTAGGAAAAAGCACATCATTAAGCAGTTACTTTACTTTGCCGACGAACTTTAATTTTTGGACATGAAAAAAACAGAAGAGTGATGATGTCTTAATATTCTAAAACACCTATTAGAAAAGAATGTCATATGAATTCATAGGTACTTACTATTCGTTCCACGTCTTTCTCGTTGAACTCGTAACTGATAGCTTCTTTGATATCAGCCTGTTTTTGTTCTATCCTGATTTTCGTTGGCAACGCATTGCCGGCTGCTGCACTTGCTTCTATCCATTTCTGGTATTCTGGGTCGCTAAACTCTTGATTGGATATAAATTCTAGTCTAAAAACGCGCTCTTGGTTGCCGTGTCTAACTTTAAGTCCCTGAAAAAAAAGTAGTATGTAAGTAATTGTCAAAAATATAAAAATATACCCAAAATGGCAAATTTGTAGTTAAAAAAACTAAAACTGGAGTAAAGGTCAAATCACATTTTGGTGTAGTGGGTTAGAAATTCGTCCCGTTAGAGATGCAGGTATATTAATATCTAGCCCAAAAAAAGTATAGACTGAGTGCTTTCGGTTTTTCTTTTAAGTGGCATACAGGTATTACGTTTTTCCAGGACCTGAACTTAGAATCTGACTACAATTTAGGGCGTTCTTTATAAAAAGATATTATTCTGCATTTCTTCGGGCGTTCTCACGTAATCTTGAAAAGCTAATGTTACATTACTTTTTAACAAAATACATTAGACTTCGCATCCGGTCCGCATAAAATTTCACTTTCAACTCCCATCAACGCCATGTGAAATAAGTAAACAGATCGCGCCTCCGTACCCCGGGTGGAACACTGCTCAGACTTATCTTCAGCGCATCTGCTACTCTCTCCAGTACGCATGAAGTGGGTAACAGGGGACCTCTGTTTCATCTGTTCCCTTCCTGGAAATACTGTAATGAATTTAACACGAGCTGAACATTGCACAATTTAATATTGCAATTGACTGGTCTTAGCCAAAGGCACAAGCAGGCTATAGGCGTGTGGAGTATATTTTACCACGTACTGGCGGAAATTCCAGGTTCGGCATTAGGAGTATTTATCACAATGCTTTTGCTTGTTTTGTATCATGAGTAAATATAACTGAACACACTTTTGATATGAATAAACTTTGTTTCAATGAAGTCGACTCTATATCTCGCATAAAATTGCTTTTCAATCATAATTATGTCGGCAAATAAACCGATCATTATCCAGTTGATGAAAGAATTGCGTGACACCATTTTTTCCAGTGGTCGAAATTTAAAAAAAATAATGAAAAGATGTTTGCTCAGAAAAGACTGTGACTTATGGTGTACCGCTAGTTTTAGGCTCGTTATTTTTTACTTTGAACATCAATAGCCTACTCGGCTTGAAGTTGCAGGGCCCTTAAAGAGACTGGAAAATGATATTACTTTAATTTCAGATTGGTTTAGACACAAATATTTAACAATAAATTTTCAGAAAACCATGTATATGCCGTTCACAAACCTTAATTACCACCATTTACGTCTTTACAAATTAAATGTGACAAAACAAATATTCTCAGCTAAAAAATAAAGTCAAGGATATTAACAACACCATTTACAGCAAAAAAATTAGGTCATAGACGTTTCAGTCACCACTCCAGTAGATTTTATAACTTTTTACCAAACCATATAAAATCAATTTCACATAAAAATTATTCAAAATTGAAATAAAGAAATTCTTATCTAAAAATAGACATAAAATAGCAAAGCTCACTCAAATGAAAGGTATTTAAGTTTTGAATATAAGTAATATTATACTTCACCTTTATGGTTATAAGTTGTGCTTAAATTTATGTATAAACTGTGTTTAAAGCAAAAAATGTTATAGATAGTTTTTTACCTTGTTAATCTACCATGTAGTTATATCCTGAATTCTCTGTTATACATCAAAAAGAATGCTACTGCCTACACTACCCATGGTCAAATACATCTGTATGACACTCGAAACAAAAGTAATATATGTGCAGAACACCATCGGCTATTCAGAAACCAAAACGGCACTCTATGGAAGCAATTTCTTTCTTAAAAAAGCTTTTTTTTCTCATTAGAGGAATTCATGAATGATGATATTTGTGATATCATATGAATGTTTGTAGTGTATTAACACCAATAAATTATTATTATTTTACACGCATAAGAATTAAATTCTTCAGTGAGTTTATTTCAGTTAATTTGCGAATATATATACAGGGTGCGGCAGAGAGGACGGACGTTTTTGGGATGGGCAGTACTCTCCGCCTCCGTCTACGACAGAGGTGGGGAGGGTGCCGTTTGACTCGTGAGATCCTAGCATTATTTTACCAGTTGTCGTTATGGAGCTTTGGACGGTGGAGCACCGCGTTTTCGCCTTTGATTGTTTCGTCTGAAATAATGAGTCAGTCATCGTCGTACAGCGTGAGTTTCGTCGCTACTTCAACATTCATCGGAATAGAGCTGTTCCATCTCGAAACACCATCCTTCGTTTGGTTGAATTACTTCGCAGGCGTGGTGAACTGATCAACAGAAGACCAAGAGGAGCGCCGCGAACAGTTCGAACTCCTGAAAATGTTGAACGCGTTCGACAGGTCTTTCTTCGCAGTCCGACTCGATCTGCCCGGAAACATGCTGCTGCACTTCGCCTTAAGGATCGTTCGGCAAGGCGAATTTTGCATATGGATCTCCGCTTTCACCCCTACAAATTGGCCATTGTGCAACAGTTACAGCCCGGAGATTATGCACAACGAATGAACTTCGCACGTGAGATGGAAGCATGATCGATCAAAATGAGAACCTCATTTTGTTTATGAGTGACGAAGCCCACTTTCACCTAAACAGCATGGTTAACCAGCAGAATTGTTATTGGGCTAATGAAAATCCGCAACAGTTACATGAAAGACCGCTGCTATGCTATGCTATGCCTTACCCAAAACCCACCTTATTCGTCTTGGTCTTCCCCAAATTATAAATCTTCGCCGTCTCGTACACCCCAATGACCTCAGCCACTCTGTACACAGGCACATTGTCGTGTTGCCCGATGCCCACTTTAACATAGCACCCCATGGCTATCCTATCGAAGAACGGCATGTGGACGAACCGTTCCAGCTTATGCCTGGACAGCCTGATCAGGTTCAGATCCTGCCTGGAAGGCACGTACGAAGGTCGGCGTTGTTCCTCGTCCTCTTCGTTGCTGCTGGAACTCGAGCTGGAACTGGATTGGGAACGGGAACGAGATCTCGAACGGGAACGCACGGACGCTGTTGTCGTCGTCTGGGGTTGAGTGGGCTTTTCGTCTGGAAAAACGCGTACAGGGTGTTTGTAAAGTACCCGGTCAAACTTCAAAGAGTAAGTAAGTAAACAAGTTACTACATTTATCTTATAAGTTACAACAAATGGACATCCCTATTAATTGTATCAATATTATAGAAAATAATTTGTTCACCCAACAAATACGCGGCAAAAACAATCATGCGAAAAGAAAATATACCACCAACGCTATGGAGTACTACAGGGACCTATCCTAGGACCCTATCTGTGGAACCTATACGTTGCTGATCTGCCGGTAGAAAACATTGCAGGACAAATGAAGTCCTTGTGCGTGCTAAATAAATCCAAACAGCAAAACACAGCCATCATAAGATCAAAGTGGGCAATGGAAGAACCGCATGTATTGTATTTGGGAAAGCACGAACGTACCCTAAACAGATCAGGTGTGGCAGGAATGGGCAGCCAACAGTCGTAACCCTGGTCCTGGACCAAATACGATACCTTGGTATCAATCTTAATAAAACAGGAAACACGGGAGCCTCTTTAAAGAAACAGTTCTTGAGGCCAATCGAGCAGCTCTGTCTCCAATCATTGGCTTCAGTGCGAATGTTACATATGGACTTATTAGTGGCATCCTTAAATTAAAGACGTGCCTTAAAAAGGTACATAAAATAGCTGAGACGTTCCCCTACTGCATCCAAGATGACATTCTTTTGGAGATGCTACAAAAGGACAGTGTGGCAACACACTTGGATGAGGTGCATAAGAAATTTCTCTAAAAAAAAAACTGGGGAAGACCAATCAGTGAAGTCGATTTTGACCAAAGTAGATCATCCAATGAGCCATCAATGTCAAACCCAGCCTCCAAAATTCAAGCGTCCTGTGTACGATATCTCAAAAAGATAATACTTTATAAAACGGTGTTGCCATACGTCCCCTATCCTCCTCCTCGTATTTCACCTGTTTCCTAAGAGGCAATATATTTTCATTGTTTATAGATAACATATCGGTATACCGACTGAGAGTGATAAACAATATAAAACTGGGCTCCGAAATTAAATTCGTATTACGGAGAGTTTCGAGTCATTATATTTATTGAAAAGTAGTGTCAAGCGTGAATTAGTTAAACTGAGACACTTTGAAATAAACAAAAAGCGAAATCTGCGGGGTAAGTGTCAATTGCACTTGAAATAAGAAATCTCGAATCGCCAACAGCTGATCGGTACCATCTTTCCTCCGAGGGGTCGACCCGGGAAATCGGTACCTGCGGCGCCTTGCATGGATCAGCGTAGACAGCCATAACACATATACACAATAGAAGACTAAAAGCATAGGCGGAGATAATAGAGTGTAGATGTCGGCATTCCGTATCAGCTCTAGACAGAGTGAAGATAGCGCAACTGAAGAGTCAACAGACGAGGGAAGCAAAAGAAAGAGGATTGAAGAGCAAGAGACAGAAGCCTTTAAAAGAAGTAAAAAGATAATAAGAACCCCGACAAAAGATAGAAATAAAAGAGTTACTAACAAGAAGATGGAAGAAATTAAGGACATGATGAAAAGTCTTATGGAGAAGTTTAGAGGGTTTCGGGAGGAAAATCGTGAGGAAATGGGGTTACTTAAAGAACAAAATACAATTCTTAAACAAAGAAACGAAGACATCATGCAGGAAATCAGTATGCTTAAACAGAGGGTTGAGCAGTTGGAAGAACTGGAACAAAGGATAAAAATAATAAAAAAATAAAAATATATAAAAAATAAATATAAAAAATAATATAGTGATCTCGGGTTTAAACCTAGGAACAGGAGGCAACGAGGATTTAAAGCAATCAGTAGAAAACTTTCTGAAAACCAGACTGTCTCCAGAGGCAGATATTCAGTCCGCCCAAAAAATAAAAGAGAACCTCTATGTGGCGGAGTTGAAGAGTTTTGATGCTAAAATGAAGATCATGAAAGCCAAAGGTAAGGTGCAATATTTGAAAACGCCAAAAATCTACATAAACAGTGATTTGACAAAAAATGAGATGATGATTCAAAAGCATATAAGAGACAAAGCTAAAACGGAGAGAGCAAAAGATAATACAGTCAAGATAGGTTATATGAACTTGCTGATTAGTGGAGAAAAATGGAGATGGGATAAAAAAGACCAGGTGTTGAAACCAGACACATTGATTCAAAAAAACTAGTTATGTTTAGAGAAAAGGATATCTTGGAGACGACAGAAAATGTGGCTATGACAATGGAACAGGTAAGGAACAGGAATAAAAATAACGAAAGAAATAAGACGTTAAGTACGTATAAATTTAAAGAAGAGCAAATAAGAATTGCAACTTGGAATGTCAGAAGTATCTACGAAGCAGGTGCACTGAAAAACTTAGTCAACATAGTGAACGTATATAAAGTACACGTTCTAGCTCTTCAAGAAACGAAACTTAAAGAAACAGGAATATCCCAGTGCGAAAATTTCGTATTTTGTAATAGCGGTGGTGCAAATAGACTTTTTGGGACAGGATTTCTAATAAATGCAAAGCTAAAAGACACGATAGTAGAATTTAAACCTATATCGGAAAGATTGTGTTATCTACGCCTGAGAGGAAAGTACAGGAAAGTAACAATGATCAATGTACATGCCCCAAGTGAAGACAAGGATATGGATATCAAAACAGACTTTTATCAACAGTTAGAGGACGTGATAAATAGTCTACCAAAATACGATATCAAAATAATATTAGGAGACTGCAATGCAAAAGTTGGGCGTGAAGACACTTATCGAAACGCTACAGCAGGGAAAAGCTCACATGAACTCTCAAATGAAAATGGCAAACTCCTGATTAACTTTGCAATTGAACAAAATTTCAAGATAATGAGCACTTATTTTGACAGGAAAGATATCCACAAGACAACATGGATCTCACCAGATGGTAATACTGCCAATGAAATTGACCACGAACTGATAGAAAACAAGCATACCTGCAATATACACAATGTTAGAAGTTACCGTGGTGCAGATAGTGATACAGATCAGTTTATGGTAGTAGCTGTTATAAAACAAGAAATCCCGAAGAAACAGTTAGAGAGACAGAAGACAATCAAAAGGTACGAAACAAAAGCGCTAGAAGATACGTCAGTTAGACAGCAACTTGAACAAGCAATAGCGACAGGACTGCAGAACACACCAGTTGTGCAGGATATTAATCAGGAATGGAATCATATCCAAGCAATAATCACTAATGTAGCAGAACAGATGATGAGAAAAACGAGTACTAGAAAAAACAAAGAGTGGTTCGATGATGACTGTAAACGGGAATTGGAACAAAGACAGAAAGCAAAAATACAAATGGATGTATCTAGAACAACAGAGTCATGGAAAAGATATGAGCAAGCCAAACGAAAAGTGAAAGAGATGTGTAGAAAGAAAAAGCGTGAATATGGGGAAAGGGACTTGAAAATGATAGAAAATCACATGATCAACAAAAACATTAAGAACTTTTATCAGGATGTAAGAAGAAGCAAATTGGGTAGTCGAAGGTCTTCTTGCTTCTATAATTGGTCAATAATTGGTGACACTCCAGGAAAATTAGAAAGGTGGGCCAAACATTTTGAGGAACTTTATAAAGCTATCAGACGAAGAGGAAAGGAACACGGAAGCAGCACCACTAATCGAAGATGACAATCAGGGACAAATACACGAACCAACGGATCTGGAAATAGGAAGATTAAAATACAATAAGAGTCCAGGAGAAAATGGAATCACAACAGAAATAATAAAAGCGGGTGGACAAGATTTACACAAGCGACCTGGAAGTCTGATCAGATATATATGGAATCAAGAGGAACTACCAGATGAATGGAAAAACGCCGTAATCTGCCCAATACACAAAAAAGGTGATAAAAGTTCATGTGAAAACTATAGAGGCATTGCCCTGTTAGACTAGACTAGCATTTCAACTAAGGGACAGATTGAGCATATATGAAAATGAGGTTATAGGTGAATATCAAGGAGGTTTTAGAAGGGGCAGGTCCACAATAGACCAAATATTTACAATGAAACAGCTGTTCTATAATAGCTATGAACAAAATCTTGGTTTACACGCATTATTTATTGATTTCAAGCAAGCGTATGATTCCATTAACAGAGAAAAATTATATGAAGCTATGAGGCTGCTGGGACTACCAAGTAAACTGATAAGGTTAGTCAAAATGACAATGAACGGGACAATGAACAAAGTCACATTGGAAGGGAAAACATCTAGAGCTTTTGGCGTAACGAGAGGCCTGAGACAAGGGGACCCGCTATCTACAACATTGTTTAACTTTACGCTGGAAGCTATTTTACGTATTTGTGGTATACAAACCGACGGAGTTGTTTACTATAGAAAACATCAGTTGATTGCTTACGCCGATGATATAGCATTAATAACCAGATCCAATGCAGAACTTGAGAAGACGTTTAGAAAGTTAGAAGAAACTGCCAAACGTTTTGGGCTTCATATAAAAGAAGACAAAACAAAATACCTTGAAATGAGAGGAAGCGATGAAGGAAAGTAAATAATAAAAAGTAGTTGCAGAGAATACTGTTTCGAAAAGGTGAAACAATTTGAATATCTAGGGGTCACAATAACAGATAAAGCAGAAGAAGATTTAGAAATTGAAAAAAGAATAGCAAAAGGGAGTAACGCAATGGGAGCTTTAAGCAAGATAATAAACTCGAGGTGGATATCAAGGAAAACAAAGGAAAGGATATATAAATCAGTTATTCAACCATCAGTACTTTACGGCGATGAAGCTTGGGTGTTAAGCCAGAAAAACGTACAGAAATTGGAACGTTGGGAAAGAAAAATGTTACGTAAAATATATAGGGGCACAAAAAACAACGATGGTACATGGAGAAAGCGAACTAATAAAGAACTGATGGAGATGTATAACCAACCCAGTATAATACAAAAAGCCCGAGCTCACTGGTTAGGACACGTTTACAGAATGCCGTCTCATAGGAATGCCAAAAAAGTTTTGTTTGGAGGAGAAGGTGGTAGAAGAAGAAGAGGAAGACTGAAGAAGCAGTGGCTGGAAAGTGTCAAAGAGGATATACAAAGACTAGGCATACCAGACTGGGAGGAAAAGACCAAAAACAGAAAAGCGTGGAAAGAAGTTGTCAAAAAGATAGAAGCCATGGGCCTTCAGGCCTGAAGCGCTGATTTATATATATAGGTAATAGGTATGAATTTCATTGTTTCTTCGCAGGGGTGCAGCTAAACAATTAGGTGATGTTGCTTTTGTACTTTTGAATATAAATACCATTAATATAAATGTCATTAAGCAAAGATGTTCGCTTACAGACAACCACTGTAGAATATATTTAACATGTCTTCAATTAATGTGTATCTGTTGCATTGCAAAATTTACAGAAATGAAAATGGGACTTGATTATTGTATTATGAGTGATGACTTGAGCAAATCAAAGAAAAAAAGTTCATATGATCCTGGGATTCCTTGGGATTCAATTGAAAGTGTTGGCAGGATCAAAAGAACTCTTCATATAAGATTTTTAGGTATTTAGAAGACCTACAAAATGAGACCACAAGTAAAAAGATCTGTCTAATAGCAGAAAAGTTATAGCCTAAGCTGTTTAGCTGCTGTTTATATGAATAAGAAATATTGAAATTAGTAAGTTCAACATTATTGGTTTTAAAACAACCTTATCGATCAACCACACATGAATAATAAAGATATGTGCTTGAGTTATCCAAAGAGCATTAGAATCCAGAAACAGTGAAACTTTTTATCTAGAAGGCGCTGTTTTTAATACTTATGTCAAAAAGACAGATTGTGGTTTTACAATTTTAATGGTAATTACTTTTCTTATAATTTCTCCTAAAGTATCAACATAAGAGGAGTGTTAATACATCAAAAAAATCATGATTCTGTATATCAACAATTTGACTTGTACAGACTGAGCTGTAAATTTGGTTTCTAAAACCAACTTTTTAGCATTAATTTTGACAATACAATATAGTCATTAAAAAGAGTTTATTAAAAACATTGAAATGTGAAAAATACAACTTTACCTGTGTCACTTCCACATTCAAATTCCATTATATTTTAGCAAGATCCTATAGATTCTTTATGTGCTTATCAAGCTACAGCTCTTCCTGTATATATTGTAAGATACCAATCCAATTTATCCACAATGTGTGCTCGAAAACTGGTAGATGAATTGTGACAGAATATTTGAATTGTTTGTAAACACCATGCCAACTACAGATGTAAAAATCCCACCATACAGTAGGATAAGTATGATAAATCCTTGTATGTTTTATGCATTATAAATATATTTTTGATATATATGTATATATATATATATATGTTTTATTTGATAGATAAAAATACTTACTATCACTATCACTGTCATCTGAGTAAATATCTGATGCCTTCAATTTTGTCTCATTCTTCTTTGATAAAACAATTTGTTCTTCTTCCTCTTTTTTCTTTTGTTCCTCTTGCTTCTTCCTCTCTTCCTCTGCTTCTTCCCTCCTTATTTTTCCCTCTCTTCTAGCTTTAAGTTCAGCCATAGCATTTACTCTTTTATCAACTTTACCCCTATTTTCCTCAATGTTCTTTTTACGTTCCTTACTTCTCTCTTTGTGGTCAATTGAACTAAAGTCATTCTGTAGTTTATTAGTAAACTCTTTATCTTTTTCTTTGTCTCTCTCTTTATCCCTTGGTTTTGATGGTTTGTCCTTGGCTCGTTCAGCTTTCTTTGCCTGTCTCAGTTTCTTCTCTATTTCAAATCTAATAAGAATCATTAAAATAAGCAATGTATGCATTAATAGTCAGAAATAACTGCTCAACAATCAGCAAACTTGATAGATGTATAAATTATAATAGATAATATAAAATAATGCCTTTATCTCAAAGCATTTCTAAAAACTTATCTCTACAATATAAAGTTATTGGGAAAATAAATTAATTTAGAAAGATAGCTTCTAATATAATAAAGCTAGATAATAGTAGCAATTTACTTGCCTAGTTTTCATGAGTTCTCTTTGTTCAATTCTCTTGAATATCTCTGTTTCTCTTTCTTTTTCTGTAAGCGCTGCCAATCTGGCTCTATCTTCTTCATCACCCATGAGTTGATCATCATATCCATCGTTGAATTCTTCTTCTGAGCTTGATGAGTCTGAAACCTCTCCTTCCTCAGGTTCTGAGTTACTGTCTTCTTTTGCTGATTTCTTGCCATTTTTTTCTGATTCAGATTCTGATGCTGACTCTTTTTTAGCTTTCTTCTTACTACTTTTCGTTGATTCGTTACTTTCTGAGCCTTCATCTGACGATTTTGTCTGTGGGGAACGCTTTTTTGCAGTTCGTTTCTTTGCTAGCTTCAAGAATTCCTGGAATATTCAAGTTTTCGCTACACTACTATCCAACCTTTTTGACAAATATATTTATTTGGGTAAACCTTTAGAATTGATAGTATACACGTCCCAAAAAAGGAAAATTCTAGGCGAAAACTTGAAAAAGTGGCCTGGTAAGACGTAAAAACCAAATTTTCTTACAGGTTATGGAAGATAAATTCTTACCGAATCCAGATCACTATCGGAATCATTGCTAGAATCACTATCAATTAAAGCTGTTTGCTTACGTTTAACCATGGTTTTGGCCTGGAAAAACGCTTTTACGTAAATTAAAAATATCCAGTGTTCAAACTCTAACTTCCATCAACTCATCCAATGATGCCTAGCATAGAACACAAACTGAGAACAAGCAATTTCAAACGTCATCGTCATGACACGGAAAGGTTAGATCATAGATTAATTTAAGTACCCTACTTCTCTACTACAACCCAATCATACACGTATTCATAATCTTTGCTTTTTATATGCCAGGAAGATTGGACAGTTCCAACAAAATTTAAAAAGGAGGTTGTATTTTGTCTCAGACTGTGTGCAAGAAATTCTTCGATTAAGAAAAATTATAAATGGAAAGTGTATAACGGATGAATGAAACACTGGGTTATGTTCTATATACAGTTTATTCACCATGTTGTATTATATATTTCTATTTGTTATTTGTTTTCAACGGGAGGTAAAACCTTTTCTATCCACCTAAACAGATCTTCGATTTCCTTCTGCTTGATTTCATGTAACGTATTTTTGATAGGGGTGAATTCACCCTTAATTCCTAGTTTTGTTAAATCTTGGAAAGTATTTTGTCCCCACGAAATCGGTACTAAAGTGTCTCTATCGCCATGACACATGTACAAAGGAGTATCCCTAGTTTTTACGTTACTGTATAGAACAGAATTATTGTTAAGGAATGAAGATAGGGCAAAGGCTCCTGCTAACCCTGGGGAAAATCTGTAGGCAGTATGTAATGCAAGTGCTCCACCCATGGAAAATCCACCTGAAATCCGAAACATTATAAAATAACTGACTCCAAAATGAGATTAAAGCATTAATTAACATATTCTAGTTTGAGATAGGCAACCACATATACTGTATTCCGGCATCCAGAGATCTGCAAGATATTAGCGCCATCTATGTGCCGAACAGAACACAAACATGAATTTAGAAATACACTTTAAGAAGGCAAAGGTCTTCAATCGGCTCTCTAATGCCTATTTTAATTCAGGCATTCCACCTAAAGTAAAATAGGTGCCAAAAAAGAATTGAAGATCCTGGCGCCATCTATGAGGCAGTAGCAGAACACTCTTAACTCTTTGAAAATGGATTTCTAAATTAATATTTGTGTTCTTTTACTATCTCACAGATGGCGATACTATCTTTCAAGGAATTTTAGTACATGGTTGTCTATGTTCAGGTAGAATATGTCGAAGTCGTACCAATTACAATTCTGTTCAGTGGCACTCCAGAATCCGCAACTTTTCCTATCAGGCCTTTCATCTCTTGTCCAATTGCTTCAAGTGTTTGAATATGCTCTGGAACATCGGGAGTTATGTTGTATCTGTCAAACCACACATTGCTTGTCTGAAAATAGAAAATGGATTACAATTTTTTGTGCAAAACTAGTAGATAGTTACTCACACTGCCTCCTAACGGGGTATAGGGCCTCAAAGGAGCTGTCGGAAAATAAAAATTGATGTGAGGTAATCCAAAATCGGAGCCCATCAGGAATTTCACCCAGTTCAAAAAACCTTGGCCAGTATCGCCTGTAAAAAAGGGAATAGCTTGCCATATTACGTTCCTTATAATATTACTTGACATTAAACATTCAAATCTCATTTACAGTGACGGATCTATAATCTCTGGGAGCCGAAGTGCTATGTTCGTAGGGGACTCCTATAGTGATAGTTGAAGAGCGTGGAACATAAACTGTGCCTAATGAGGGGGCCCCATAAACCGCATTCCGGGGAGTGGGTCGTATGCTCATGTACGCTGAGTCAAAACAATATCCGCGTCTGCTCATTTAAGCAGCGCCAAAGGAAACACGAACACTCTGCTTCTATTATCTATTCGCCTGTAGCTGCGTGCCGAGGTATTTATGGTCCGCTTGCCAATAGGAGTGCGAGAATTTGAAGATCGCGATGCTGTTTTCATGTCGCGACAATGATATACAAATAGTTACGATAACCCATAACAAATGGAGTAAAAATGGCGCATAGAAATTCCTCACGGAGTTTCAATTCTGCTAGTTCACCATTTGTGTTAAACAGACGTCAACTGTTAATTGTGACGCGAAACAGATGTCATTTGTACTTTTTAGATTCTTTTCTATTTTTTTGTCAGCCTAGGCGCGTAGGAGGATAGGCCCTAGGTTGCCCACCCTCCTTCGGTACTTAAGTTGTGCTTTGGTTATTAGAATAATATCGAAAAAAATTACCTGATCCATGCAAAAATATTACTGATCCTGTACAAGCTTTTCCAGTTTGTTTTACTAAGTGGAGTGCTTCCATAGCCATTTCTTCCTATTTGTGGTGATGAAATGTTGCCGATTAACCTTATGAGCACAGCTTATGAATGTGGCTACTCTAGTAATGTGTTGTGGAATCAACAAGCAAAAATATTTCTATTTCCTAATGCGGGTCCTACACGATGCTTCCAACGTTGTTTACAACGATGAGATGAACTTTTTAGACTCGGACGTTCGACGCATGGTGGTGCCAACGACTATTATCGGTGTCAGTGTCGCGCTTTACGCGAACCTTTACAACTGAAGGAAAAATTATACAAAATAAACGAGAAAACAATTTTTTCGAGCGCTAAAAAATAATTTCAGGTCTGTCCTCAGCGACCAAAACTTAAGCCTGTCAGAAGCCTCAAAAATGTCGAAAAACGATGTGTGACCGTTTTTTGTTTGTTTTTCGACGATAGCTCCAACGCCACTGTACCGATTTTCAAAAACTGCATTTTCATAGTAGTAACCTAGGGTTACTTTCATCAAAATCCTGATAGTACTTTCAGAGTTATCATTTATTCAATCTTTTTCATATCTTATGAAATGGAAGTCTTGCATTGCAACAGGACATTATAATGAAACAACTGGAAGCACTTGATAATTTATAATTTACTAAAATACATATCCTTAGGCCAGCCATAACTCACCTGCGAAACGTACAAAATATTAGCAATATGAAAAAAGGTCAAAAGTTAGTTACGGAACATACATTATTATTAATAGGCAGGTATTCAAATCTAAACTTCCCTCATACCACTATTTCACCACAGTCACAACAAACAAATAAATAATGTCGCCGCTACTGGTTCTAACCTAAAACCATCAAACACATGACATTTCGTGTGGGAGCGTAACGAATCATGCTTCCAACGTTGTAAGGTCCTTTTGACGAGGGTCAAATTTACCGACAAGAGCCCGAACGTGCCATGTGGCGAACGTTGGACACATGCAATCCGTCAGCGCTCTCCCACACGATGTGGCGAATGGCCTTGTGTCCAACGTTGTAAGGCATTCGCCACACATCGTGTGTGAGCGGTTTAAAACGAAAGAACCAGCATGTAATGAAAAGATTAGATAAGATACATTTTTATATGAATATAACAATAACTGCTTTTAATGTTGTCTTGCAAACATTGAAGAATGGATCAACAGAATAATCTAAAATTATTTAGCTACAGAATCAGATGGACTCACCAACTCGCTATATAATTTTATAATAATTTGTGTCTATATGGATCCATAATGCGTGTATCTTTGATTTCCACGATTTCGAGCTTATTTTTCCAAGATTTGAGGTTATTGTAGTTTGTTTCTGATAGGGAAACTTATGAGATTATTCCTTGATAGTATCATTGAGACTTGTTGAAATATCTCATTTAATATGTGATAAAAGGATTTATAAATAAAACATTAGAAAACAGAATCAAAACATATTTTATAATTATATAAAATTCCGAATTGACCTAAAATATATCTCATCGAATTTCCATTATTTAAATATTTAACAGGGGGCTAAATGACAAGTGAAAGATTTGCTTGTCATTAATTTGACAGTCAGAGTTCGCTCGATTTGACATTTGTGTTAAAACGTGTGTAATGTCCAGTTATAAAGCATAAATTCGTCCAAAAACGTTCACGATGAATCTAAGGAAACACCAAGGCGACCCAAATGAAGATTCCTCAGAGTCGGGTGATGAAAATCAAAACAACGTGGAATGCGCTCACATCAACAAGGCCGTTGACTTACAAAGGGTGAAGAAGTCCTTGGTTCGTTCTGGCTTCCTCATGGACTGTGAGGAATGCAAAAAACTGCCTCCGGACAACGATATGGACTTCATAGAGTACGACCAATCTTTATGGCTTTGCCTGAAATGCGGGAACCAAGCATGTGGCAGAGGTCGCAATAAACATGCACTCAAACATTATGACACCCCTCATTCTGATTCACACGCCCTTTGTGTGAATACAACCATCTGGAGCGTCTGGTGTTATGATTGTGATGACGAGGTCAACGTTTCCTGCAAGAAAAAGCTGCAAGAGGCTGTCGAGTTCCTCAGGAAGCAGGCGGAATCCAATAAAATCAAACAACAGCCTAGTACCACTAGTATAGCAAGAGTGAGTATGCCTACTTATATAAAAAGTTTAATACTATAGTTTCTTCATCTACTATTCATTTGGAAGGTATAGCTGAAACAAATTCATATTTTCATAAAGCTTAAAAACTACCTTATCTTCTCTTCTCTCTTATCACTATATTGTATTGTTTTTTTATTAGGTATATTATCCTTATAAGATATGTGTTATTCTGTAATCCATGGATCTTGACCTTGTTATAGCTTTAAATAACTACAGTAACATGTGTTCTTCAAGAGAATGACACCTTATTTTTAGCTAGACATAAAAACATTAACATGTTTCTACTATTTATATCTGCATTTTGAAATTAATACTTCATCATTATGCTTAATGCTGAATTTAATAATATTGATCTTTTTATCACCAAATTTCCAAGATGTTAGTTAACTTGTCCTTAAGTTGTAAGATGTTTGGTTTGCAGATTAATCATCTCCGACGAATTTAATAGAAAGTAAAGAACATACTTTTTATTTTTAAATCCTCTATCCTTCTTATTACTATTATTTCATTAATTAACATATTCTTGGAGGTTCAAATTTAATTTTCATTATCACAGCCATATTTTCAAGTAGGATCACAGTAATTACTTTAGAAGTAATGAAAGCATTAAATTTTGCTTTTAAAGAAAATGGTCTTCTAGGAAATACTTATCACTTCTCAAGATCCATCGTGATTATTCTCAGAATTTTTCAAGGGAAAGGAAACTGCATAACCTGTGCCAACACTGACATCTAAAAAGGGTTGTTAACACATATACCAGGTGTTTCAAATTTGATCCTCACCATTGGAATCTTGGAAATTACTTTATTTGAGTCAAGATTTCAAAATAAAATGTACATCAACATACAGATTTTTTCCTTTACAAGATGACATAACTATAATTTCCATATGGCATTTCATCTCTCAACTTTATTTTTTCTTATAGATGCCATATTGGATTTATGTACAAGTTAATAGAGTTTTTAATTCTGATTCTAGAAATGTATATGGCATACATTGACAATGCCAAACCTGGGTTATTTGAAAAAAATAGAATTTTCCAAGTAGGCATTGGAATTATCAGTCATTTATTTCATAATATCATCAGCAAAGCATTCCTTCGGGTTTATGAACTAGGCATATGTCAACAGTCCTGATTCCCAGCTTAAGTGATGTGATATTTTATATATCATGATATGGTTTGATATTATAAAATGTCTGATGTCAAAAAAGTAACTTATCAAATAAAGAACAACCTCATACTAAAACTCTTTTATATTATGGGTCATTTAGAAAACATAGAGAATAGTATTATTATCTTATGTATGGTTGGAAACATTTTGGAGTAAATAAAAACCTGATGATGTAGCAGCTCCATAAGCACATTTTATAGCTGCCATATCTTAAATGATGCACATGTCTTGCACGCAAATACTATTATTTTATGGGTGAGGTGTCGTGTAGAACACCTCCGTTATGCTAAAATATGTAAATTATATGAATGCTCTTTAAAGATGCTTCTCAAGCAGCAAAGCATTGATGATTCAATCATATAAAGATAAGACAGCTATTTTCAAGGCCAACTATGAGAATATCAGTTTTTTTGAAATAGCTCAGGTTTGACAAAGTCGATGCATGACATAATATATCTTTTTGAAATCAGAAATAAAAACCATTCACCTGTGCAAAAATCCATTATGATAATAATAATATTAACGTCTTTTATTTGTAATATTATTACAGGTGGTGAGATTTAGATAATATATCTATTCTACCATCTAACCCCCTTAACAATACGAGATGTATAAAAAAACTGAGAATTTGTTGAAAATTAATACCTGTATACAATAATGACAAAATAAAGTATAATCTAAGCAAAGGCATAAGGAAAATATGAGGCCACTTATGGGTTACAACCGATTTCACTGCTGATCAAGTAGAACTTCTTTCACTTTTTTCTTGAATTTGGGGAATGAATTGGTTTCTTTTAAACTGCGGTCTAAAGAATTATATGATTGGATCGCATTGTAAATATATGTATTCTGAAATAGAGATGTGCTGTGGCATGGAATTGAAAAAGTCTCTCTATATCTAATATTAATGCCATGCATATCCCTCTTCATATCAATTTGTTTACTAAATATGATGGTGTTTTTGAATAAACAACCCTATGAGTCAAATTTAGGAGTTGGTTCTTATACATTTTATCAATTTTCATCCATTTGAAATCATTAATGGCATTCGATATATGATCATACTTTCTGAGACCATTTACAAGTCTGCAACATGTATTCATAATACTTTGAATACGATTTCTTGTTATAATATCTAAATAGGGTTAGTAAATCACTAAGCAATATAATATCTTTGAAAACAAGAAAGATTCACATAATTGCTTTCTCGAAGATTTATGTAATATAGCCTTGTTTGAGAAATTAGATAGTTTATGTGTACAACAAATTTTAAGTCATCATCTATTATAATACCTAGGTTCTTCGAAATGATCCACAGGAACTGATTTATTACCTATAAAGTATGTCTGTCATTTTTTAATGCATTCTCTTTTGTTCTATTTGCATATACCAACATAGTTGTCTTTTCAATTTGGGCAAGATCTTGATTAATTTTATTATTTGCTGTTTCCGAGTCATTACTCCTAAATGAATAGAAAATTTGAGTACCGTCTGCAAAAAATTGTATGCTGTATGATTTTACCTCTGTTTCTATATCATAATGAAAATAATAGGGGTCCTAAGACTGTTGCCTGTGGTACACCAGAACAAATTTTTTGTTCGGTAGAGTACTGTTGATTTAGAACATTGATTCCCAAAGTGGTCTGTATATATTTTGAACTTGTAAAAACCTGAGAGTCACAGTCTTAGAGCTTCGCTACCTTGCACTGACTTGTTCAATTCGTCGCTCTATAAATACGAATGTGGGACAAATATATATAATATAATTACAGTGCAATCTCCGTAATTCGAGCTGATTGTTGCAAGAAGATGTTCGAATTATGGAATGTTTTCGGAAAAATCTAAAAATATTTTTAATATCCAGCTGCTGGATTTTCTGTCTTATTTAAATAATTTAATTTTGCCCACAGATGACCGATGACATGTCCGAATCTAAAAAGAAATGTAGACAGTACAGTGTTGATTATTTGAAATTTGGCTTCATTCCATCATTGCCGGACAAACAATCGCCTATGTGCAAGATCATCTGAGAAGATGCCACCCTGATAAAACAGAGAAAGATTTGAAATACTTTCAAACACTCAAAGATAAATTTCAGAAGAGGCTTACACTGGACAGAATGTTCGCTTCGACGTCACAAAGAAATGCTGACGGTTTGCGGGCGTCTTACAATATCTCGTTACTTATAGCAAAATCCGGAAAACCGCATACTATCGGAGAGAAGTTAATTTTGCCAGCCGTTGAAGAGGTTTTAAAAACTGTTTTACACAAACCTGCATCTGATATCATTAAAAAAATTCCCTTAAGCAACAATACTGTTGAAAGACGTATTGATGAAATGAGTTCTGATATTGAAAGCTTCTTATGTAATTATTTGCAAACGACCCATTTCTCTATAAAACTGGACGAGTCAACTTTACCTGATTATGCAGCATTATTATTTGCATATGTTCGTTTTATTATGAATCAAGAAATCTACGAAGAACTGCTCTTCGCAAGAACTTTGATAACTGACACTAAAGGTGAATCAATATTTCATGTTTTGAAGGATTACTTCATTGAAAAAGCAATTTCTTTATCAATTATAATATCAGTAGCTACAGATGGAGCACCTGCCATGGTTGGACGTTATCGTGGCTTTACAAGCTATTTAAAACAAAATGTGTCAGGGGTGTTAGCAATACATTGCGTCATCCATCGACAACATTTAGTTGCTAAAAATTTGAGTTTTAGATTGCATGAATCACTTCATTTAGTCATTGATGCAGTAAACCGAATCCGAAGCAACGCTTTGAATACGCGGTTATTTGCGCAGTTGTGTGAAGAAAATGACGAATACTTTCATTAATTACTCCTTCACACTGAAGTACGCTGGCTGTCGAAAGGCTTATGTTTGACAAGATTTTTTGCACTTTTTGAGACTATTTTAGAATTTCTGGATACTAAAGATAGAATTTTAAAAGAAAATTTAATGAAGAGGAAAACAGACATCGCCTATTTACAGATTTGTTGAGAGAGCTACTGCTTTTTGGTTATCAAGTGCTATTGTTATATCGTCTGTTAAATCACAGAGTGCCAAAGCTGTATTATGACCTTGTCGAAATCCAGATTGTTTAGTTGGAATAATTTTCTTAGAATATAAGTAGGCGCAGAGAGGCTCGTAAACAACGTCTTCCAATACTTTATAAAAATAGGCAGTAGATTGATCGGTCTCAGTTGACCATGTGACATCTATAAGAAAAAATAGGGTTGATGATTGAGCATAAGAGACAAAATGCCATATTAAAATTCTAATTATGCCATCTTGTAGAAGACAAAAAATGGCAATGTTGATGTACTTTTCATTTTGAAATTTTGGGAAAAGTCAGTTTCTTTTATCGTCTGGAAATACTCAAAATTTTCGATTAGTTATGGGCAACTTTGCTCCTATTTAACCAACTTCATATGCATTACAATGGTTTGAGTCAAATTTGAAATACCTGGTATACTTGAAAGCATAAGTGGTTAGTGGCACCATTATACATACTTCCATTTTCACATAGGTACAGCTTTCAATGCTTATTTGGGGTTAATTCTTTTTTGTTTTCTCTTCAGGTATTAGATGAATTGCCTGTGATAACAACCACCACCTCCTCCACTAGCAGCAATGCAGGAGCCATCCCCAAGACATTGCCTTTTTCCTCTTCAAATATCCCCAGAGCAAGAGGGTTGAGTAATCTGGGCAACACATGCTTCTTCAACTCAGTGATGCAGTGCCTTGGTCAGACACCTTACTTGCTCCAATTGCTGGAGGAGACATCTGAGGATGGCCAGTACTTCAGGTTGCCTGGTGGAAAATTGACATTGGAGGATAAGGAAACTGTTGATTTGCCACCACTTGAAGGTTCGTTTTTTGCACCAACTAATTTTTTTATTGAATTCAAGCCAGATCGCATCACCACCTTTTTCAATACTCTGGGGTGTCTGACGATTCAGTCCTCAGTGACGCCTGCGAGGACGTAGGGCCTAAGTGCTGTGATATTAGTGATTGCTTTTCTTCCCATACAGAAAGTAGATTTCTAATTTTTGGAGAGAGGAGAAACATAGCTGTAACAAATACTTATAGATTACACTACAGTATTTCATGTCATCTTGGATCAATTTTTTGGCTCCGCGAATATAGTATTAGGTTATTGTCTTCAAGTACAGTCTTCGAAAACCAAAAGTTCTCTAATTTTGCTCTAACAGACAAGGTTAAAAATTGCTTCGAAATAAAAATACTCTTCACGGTCTTGTACAGCAAGGTTTAAGCTTCAGTTTAGAAACTTGGCGACCATATTTTAAAATGATGGCAACCTTGTTTTTCAGGCCAAAATCTGTGTAATAAATGTTTTGACCCAAAAAATGGAAACTCACACACTACACAAATTACTGTTTTCTATCCTTCTAGGTACTCTGGAAAAGTGGAAACCTCTTACTGGCGCTCTTGCTCAAACCCTGAAAGAACTCCAAAGCGGTAGAGCCGAAGTCTACAACCCACGCCTTCTCTTTTCCAAATTGAGGACGAAAATGCCTCAGTTTGGAGGAGGTGACCAACATGATTCTCACGAGCTGCTTAGGCATCTGCTTGAAGCAGTAAGGGAAGAGGACTTGAGAAGATACAAGACTGTTATTCTCGAGAAATTAGGTAAAATTTTCATTGTTGCTAGTGTACCTATGTATTTTTTGCAACTATGGATTCATGTTGTAATTCAAAATGCTGAAAATTGACATGCTCGTTTAGAAATTTCAGGAAATGCTTAAGCTTTTTAAAATATTTTGATATTTTTGTCATGGAAAGATAAAAGTCTAACAACTAGCTACTAAAAATCCTATAACTTAACATGTGTAGCAGTTCAAAGTAATTGTTAATAACGGGCTAAGAGCAACGCGTGTGTCCCTCTGTTGTATGTATATTAGCTTTGTTTCAGGAAAATGATCAAGTCGTGTCCAGAAGTTCAGAACACATATTTCTTTCTTGTAACAATTACATGAGTTGATTGATTTCCCACAGAAGCAGTGCAGATCCCTGGCCGCAAGATATCCGTTGTAATTGACGAGTTCTCTTCTTCATCCTAGATTATCAACGCAGGTGTTCCCCGGTTATCGGTCTTGGCTGCGACATTGTTCCTTTCCTTCTTTACAAATCAACGACCTACTTTTTTGTACGATCAATCCGATCCACATCTTCCTCTTCCTCTCTGACGAGAGACCTGGAGGTTATCATTGCTCTTTGACTCAACAATTTGGTACAGTCTAATGCTTCCAAAGCACATTACTGTGCCTTGACTAACAAGAAACATTTTTGATGGTGGGGCGAGCTCTACCAAAGAGTCGTACATTTCGGCTGGTCGGAGTAGAGAAAACCGATGACTTGATCTGATACGAGCACATCTCAATAGCGACAGCAAGGCTACTTGCTCAGATCTAAGAAGTACTTTTCCCCACATAGACTCCTTACTATGTACAAAGCCCAGATAAGACCAAGCATCGAGTACTGCTCACATGTTTGGTGTGCTGCGGCCTCGACTACATTGTCCTTGCTCGATGCTTTTCTGAGGGCTGTCCGACTGATCGATGCCTTCTCTAACCGACATTCTGGGGACCCTTTCCCACCGGCGGGACGTCAGCGATCTAGGTCTCTTCTACTGCTACGCCAACGGGCTTTGCTCCTCACAGCTCTCCACCATGATGCCGCCGTGTAATGTGTCTGCCAGACAGATCCGACTGACTTCAGCCTCCCTCCCTAACCATGTTGAAGTTGTACGTTCAGAACTGGCTGCTACACAGTTCATAGGAAAGATCAAAAGTTTGGAATTCTCAGGAAATAAACTGGAGGTGATGTTCTCCTTGCTGCCAAAGACTTCATTGATGCTATGGTCGTTGAAACGAGTAATTTTGACTTACAGTTCCCTCCTATTGATCTCTTAGTAGTGAAGTGTAATGTAGGCTTTGTCATTTTTTGTAGTTGTTTGGTATATACCTGACGCCTGACGGCATAAGCGTTGTGAAGTATGAATCTTTCTTTGATGCTCTCGAACAGTTGGACTTCTTGAATGATGGTAATTCTATATTCTTTGGAGACTTCAATGCTCCTCGCTTTGTTGAGAAGAGCATACTTGATCCAAAGACAAAAGTTATATGCAATTATTTGGATCTGCTCAATTGCCAGCAACTGAATACCGTGACTAACCTTAAGCAGGTTATTAGACTTAGTAATTACACGTTTTACTTGTGAGGTCACTCATGATGTTATGCCTTTGGTTTTGGAAGACAAACATCACCCTGCTTTGAATATCTGTATACTTGATCTATTTGCCAAAGAAGCTAAAATCGAATTCAATTAAAGTGAACGTGTTTACAACTTCAGAGAAGCTGATTTTCCTTCTCTACAGAGAACTATATGAAACTGACTGGAACATATTACATATTTGCCTCTGAAGATGTTAATGCTGTCCTTGATAAAATATACGAGACAATATTTAGCATTTTTGACAAACATATACCAACCTATAGAAGCTATAGTTATAATTACCCCCCTTGGTTTGATTCGCAAATTATCCGCAATATTAAGCAAAAGGTGAAGTACAGAAATAAATTCAGGAGGTTAGGTCGGGGAGCTGATGAATGCGAATTTCAGCGGCTACGCAAATTGATTAAGCAGCTCAAATGTGCATACGACAACTACCTTGAAGGTATTCAAAATTCATTATCGCATGATCCTAGGAGGTTCTGGTCATATGTGAATTCAAAAAAGAACACTTCTAGGATCTCTTGATATGTTTTACCTTTACGAATCATTTGATAATCCGCAAGACATTGTGAATGCCTTTAGTGTCTAGATAGAGTCTTAAGCAGCCAATTTGGGTAATGTGGACAATAGTTTCAATAATGTTGCTTATGTACATACATTTTGATGAAATTTATGATAATGAAGTAATGATTGCTATTAAGAAACTTAAGGACAAAATAACTTCAGGCCCCGATAATATTCCATCCTTTTTGATTGTGCCGGAGCATTCGTGTTTTTTTTACAAAATTCTTTAATTTGTGTGTTCGGTCGAAGAAGTTTCCAAAACTTTGGAAAGTCGCCAAAGTGTCCCCTGTGTTAAAAACTGGAGACAGGTCCAACATTGAAAATTATCGTACCATCTCCATTTTCTGCATGTTCTCGAAGGTCTTTGAGATAATACTTTACAATCGTAATTTATAGTTTGGCTCATAATCAACTTTAACAAAATCAACGTGGATTTGTTAAAAACCGTTCAACTGCTACAAATCTAGTCAAACTACAGTCAAACTAACATCAGGTAGTTCAAAAACTGGATTAGCAAAGTTTCTTTAAGCTCCTCATAGCAGCCGTAGTGTTCTAGCATTTAGGCTTCTGCCTACGCGGCTGCTTCGGTGTAAAAGAATTATATTACATAATCAGCTTTTATCCGAAAGGTAATTCAGATCATGCATGTTCAAAGCTCATAATTTCAATTTTTGCTAAATCAATAATGTTTTTTCATTGATATTCACTCTACTTTACAGCCTTATGTCAGGGTACAAATATTAAAGATACCAGAGCATACAAAAGTTGACTTAGATACTATACTTGATGTATATACAAAGTCAATTTGCCCAGAATTGCGTGGAAAGTACAGAGTCAACCTAATCGACGCTATTTTTTTGTATGGTTTCCACTTGTGAATTTGCATTGCACCATTTCACGTAACATGTCCCTATATGTTAGTATAACTAATATATAACATAACCATCCATACATTAACCGACCGTGTGTGTGTGTGTGTTTCAACAAAGCCAACCTTTTGTAACAGGTTTCAATCTAAAAACAGATCCGGCAACTGTGGAAGGCGACAAAAAGGCCATCATAAAATTCTACGGGCAGCAGGCGTCCGATTTACTTACACCTACTGAACAGGTATTCAGAGGCGTGCTGGTCAGTACGTTGCAGTGCCAAGTGTGCGACCATATGTCACATCGAGAAGAATACTTTTTGGATTTGAGGTTGGTTATTACTTATTTATTTTGCTTTCCAGAATGATTGAGCGTCAATAGCGCAAATGCTTTAAATATCGCTTAATTATTTTTATTTACAGATTCAAATATATCACCATTATAGGTGATATTAATATTGATGTAACTAAAAATACAGTTGATCCAGGGATTTAATCTATATGCTAAGCTCCATTGTATCACAGATATGACTAGGATCACACCTATCACAGAGTCCTGTCTTGACAATGTTTTGACTAATATTCTATCAGACAATTTGAATTGTGGAACTTGTGTTTCTGGTCTGTCTGATCATGAGGGAGTTTATGCTATTATTTATGATACTGAAAATATTGGAGAATCAGCGTCTGCAGTGTATAAACGTATTATAACCAAAAACCGAATATTGTCATTCGTTCACTTTATTATTGATACATCTTTAATTATAGTTAACATCCAAAAAAAAACAAAATCCAATACTACATTTAGGTATAATGGCATATTGCGCCAGATTAGAAAACATATGATTGATCTCAAAACTCACTTGAATGCGTCAAGGGATGAAACTATTTGGGAAAACTTCGAGGTATCTCGTGAAAATTATAGGAATGCCCTGTAACGTGAAAAAATAAATAGCTACTCAAATTTGATAGTCAACTCAATAGACAGTAAAGGTAAGACTGTGGGGAAGATATTAAACTATGAAAAGAAAAACCAAATCATCTGTAGTACTCATGAATCTCCCAATGAATTTAGTAACTTTTTGTTAGGTTATAGGGTATATTTCACGAGAATTCATTATGTTTTGACGTCTAATGAAGTGAACAGCTAATCCGAAAGTGACATCTTTTTTCATTAGTCTGTAACGTTGGCAATAATGAATCGTGTAAATCTTGTAAAATTCAGGACCGTATCAGGGCTGTTGTTCACATATCTAGATACTATTAGTGACAGGAAATTTTGACAATAAAATATCCGAACACATAGAAAATGTTAATTAGAAAATTATTATCTATATTATCTGGGATTTATTGACTACCAGGTAAGTCAATAGAACAGACTACATTATCCTTTCTGGCAGCTGCAAATTTAACTGTAAAATGTAATGTAGACACGCTTTTCTAGTTAATTGTCTGTCACCAGTATAAAGTAAATCAAATATAAGTTAAATATGCGCTACATTTATTTCCCTCTCACAAGTTCTATTAGTTTCCTCGCGACGTTTTCGTTTCGTCTGGATCTTTGCAGTGTTCTCAACCGTTGACCCATGCCCGTATTCACGAACGCTGCATTGTCCCAGTTGAGTACATTTCATGACTTCTTGCAATAGTTGTACGTTGCACTTACATTTTTCTAATCTCTCACTTCTAGAAATTAACTGGGTAATGTTCATTCATATACTGTTATACATTTTTCACTGCCCTTTTAAAAACATTTATTGTTTCAAGTTCTGAATAGTATGATTAACTGTCAAAAAGTGTTTATCTTACTTTATTCCTGCCTAACTTGAAATGTAGTCATGATCATTAACAGCCATTTTGCTTGTTTGCAAGTGTCATTTGTTGATATGGGGAATTTTTAAATATCAATAGATGATCAGCAGTTATTCTACTTTAATAGATACTCGTGAAAAAAGCAGTATGTTAAAGACTCGACAGTAACCCAACCAAAAATACAGTCAAATGATAAATCATTATGACGTCACTGGGAAACGCGCCAAAAATGCTGCGCTCAAATCGACGTCATTGGCATTGCAGATTTAAATAGTCAATTAAAAATAAATAGGCATTTTCTGGAATGAAATTTGTGTTTACGGTATTATATTAACGTAAATAATCGACAAGAAATACAATTAATGCAGAAGTAATTGAAGTCGAGAGTGCTATGGTAGTCGTGTTTTTGTATTAGTAACTGGAAAGCTTTGACACAGCAGAAGTATCATATTGTCTGTTTCACGGTAAAATAACGCCATGTAGACAGAGCCGTGTTTTGTTTTGTTTCAGTGTTTTGTACGCTACAGATTCATTTTGTACTTGATAACAACTCTTTTACTTAGAAAAGTTCATTTGCATAGAAAAAGACGCTACAAGCAAGTTTTACTAGATTTACATCCGATTCATTATTGCCAACGTTACAGACTAATACAAATATGTCACTTGCTGATCAGCTTTTCGTTAGAACGTGATGGATGCTCGTGAAATAGGGTTTGTCTTGAAAAAGGTGGAGTTTTTGTATAAATAATATTTTCACGTGACGATTTTTTTTAGTTTGCCGATTTGCGAAAAACAGCTACCGCCAGTCTTGAGAAGGAAAGCAGAAGATATAGAGGATAAACCTTCCAAACACCAGATAAAGAAAGAAAAACGTGCCGAAAGAAAAAAGAACAAGAAGCAAAAAAGCAATCAAAGCTTGTTATTGAATTCCAATACCTCTATAGTGGCGTGGACCGGCGAAGAAATGGGCAACAAGTCTGAGAGTGAATCTGATGCTGATATCGAGGATAATGCTGAGGTGAGAAAATATTTTGATGTCAAATTTTCAGATTTTTATACACATAATTAGAATTTCAATATGACGTTTCGTCTCTTGTCCTCCAGCATCCACTTTACTTTTTCTTATAGTCGCCATATTGGATTTATGCGCAGATGAATAGGGTCTTTGATTCTGATTTCAAAAATGTACCATATGTCATACATTAACATTGCCAAACTATTGTTTGTTTCGTATATCAGACCAGACCTCACATTGAACATAGTAACTGTTATGTGCGGCAAGGACACATCCGTTCCAGTCTGGTGGTAGGTTTATTTGAGTTTACAAAAGTGGACTGTATTTGATTTGGTAAATGAGTGACAATACAAATTTCTTGAACCTCTTGATGCGTTCTATCTCGACACCTCCAATGTTGGTCGCGGCGCTTCGATCTCCTGGTGTCTCCGTCCCCATTGGCTGGATTCAAAAACTGTCAGGCAGCGCTTGCGCAGTGGTCGTGGCTGGTACACAGTGGCGCGCGCGCCAAATGACCATTGGCGTAACATAGGCCGCCCGCTTGAAAGCCTCCAGGCTTTCAACACGATGAGATGCTGTCGTCGTCTGGAAGTGGAAGAGCACAAAGCTTGACTACTGGCCTTTTGTACTCTCCAGTTGAAGTTCTTAAGGTAACAGTTCGAGTGATGTGGTCTGGTCCGGGATGGAGTTCAGTTATTCTGCCGATTCTCCATTTCAATGGAGGGAGTCCGTCTTCTTTAACTAGCACCAGAGTGCCGATCTTGAGTCTTTGAATGAAGTTCTCCTTCCACTTAGTGCGATGCTGCAGATGTGAGACATATTCTTTGGACCACCTGGCCCAGAAGTGCTGCGTCATTTTCTGCAGTCGTTCGAAACGAGATAATTGGTTTCCAGGAACGGTTAACCAATCTTTGTCTGGTGTAGCCATTAATGATTCGCCGATGATGAAGTGTGCTGGTGTGAGAGGAGAAGGGTCTGAAGGATCGTCTGATAAAGGGTAAAGAGGTCGAGAGTTCACACATGCTTCAATTTGAGTCAATACCGTATAGAACTCTTCAAAAGTTAATAGCGTTTCACCGACAGATCGTTTTAAATGATGCTTTACCGTTTTGACTGCGGCTTCCCATAGCCCCCAAAGTGATGTGATCTAGGTGGTATGAATGTCCATTTAATACCATCAATGGCTAATTTTTCCGAAATGGCATCAGTCCGCTGTAAAATGAATTGTTTTAGTTCTTTACTAGCACCCACGAACGTTGTTCCATTGTCTGAGATTACGTGAGAGCAAAAACCTCTGCGAGAAGTAAATCTTCTGAAAGCAGCGAGGAAACATTCAGTTGTGAGGTCACTAACGATTTCAATGTGAATTGCCTTAACTGCGAGACAAACAAATAAAGCAATGTAAGCCTTGGATAACTTGGAGTTACGCATCTTGCTGAACTTAATAGTGAATGGACCGGCAAAGTCGATTCCTACAGATAGGAATGGTCGCCCAGGAGTGACTCGAGATTTCGGCAAACTTCCCATCAAGTATCTTTCTTGATTAAGGCTAAAGCGAAAACAAGAGATACATTCCCGAATAATTTTTCGCACAAGCCTTTTGCCGCCGATAGGCCAAAATTTTTCTCTGATGGATGCTAGAAGACCTTGACATCAGATGTGTTTTAAACGTTGATGTTCATGACGAGCGATAATCACGGAGAAATGATTATTTTGGGGTAGGACGTATGGATGTTTTTTATCATAAGGATAATCAGATATTTGCAGACGACCGCCAACACGAATAAGTCCATGCGAGTCAACAAAGGGAGATAAACTAAGAAGACTGCTTTTAGAGCAAACTCTTCCGTCCTGGGTTAGCTGTTGAAGATCGATAGGAAAAGAAGATCTTTGAACTATCCTTATAAGGTATGTTAGAGCATTATCGAGTTCAATAGGTGTCAAGGAGCCAGTTAGCTGATGCTCCTTTGACAGAGTCTTGAGTTTGAACCTGCTGATATAGCCAAACACCCGAAGCAACTTAGAGAACGAAGAGAACTTGATAATTACAGAAGAGAGATGATTTTCTGTTGTCGAGAATAATGAAGTGATCTTTTCCTTGCGTTCAAGGAGATCAAAGCTATCGTTTATTGGGCTATCTTTAAAATGGGGCCAATTCGACTGTTCCCGTGACAGCCAAATAGGACCATGAAACCAAAGATTGGAGGTTAGAAAATCTGACGGAGATATTCCGCGCGACAACAAATCTGCTGGGTTATCACTTGTATGGATATAGTTCCAGGAAACAGGATCAGATAAAGCTTGAATTTGAGAAACTCTGTTCGCAACAAACATTTTAAGAAGATGAGGTGATAATTTCAACCAGCATAATACAATTTTCGAGTCACACCAGTAACAGATTTGATCGAAATTCAGCTTCATGGATTCTTTGACAGTTGATACGAGTTTGACAAGGAGAAGAGCTGCGCATAGCTCGAGCCTGGGAATAGTAACCTGCTTAAGTGGAGCTACCCTAGTTTTTGCACAGAGAATCTTGGTATGACAATTTCCTTGAAAGTCTACGGATCGAATATACACAACTGCTCCGTATGCCTTTTCAGAAGCATCTGAATATCCATGAAGTTCGATAGAAATTGGATTGTGACATATCACGTGTCTAGGAAATTGAACAGTGTTCAATTCAGAGAGCTTTGATCTATAATCAAGCCATGTTGTATAAAGCTGAGAGGGAATGCTTTCATCCCATGAAACTTTGAGTTTCCACAAGTCTTGCATTATTAGCTTGGAGATGATAGTGACAGGCGATAGGAGACCTAATGGGTCGAAGATTTGCGCTATACATGATAAGATGTGACGCTTTGTGATTTTTTGAGAGGCACTAGTCTCAGCTATACAATAAGTGAGAAGGTCCAGCGTCGCATTCCAAAATATGCCCAAAGTTTTGTTTTGCTGATCTGCACCGATTTGTATAGTCTCAAAATTTGCGAGAATATCTTTGTGGTTTGAGGACCATTTTCTCAAAGGGAAACCATGTTGGTTGAGTAAATCTGTAAGCTCTGCCTTCAAGGTAAAAGCCTGATCCACCGTCTCTGAGCCCGTGAGAAGGTCATCTACGTAGAAGTCTTCAATAATTACACGACAAGTTGAAGGATAAGCTGTCTTATGAATCCGAGCTACTTCATGTAGCGAACGAATCGCAAGAAATGCCGCCGAGGCTGTTCCGTACGTGACAGTGTTAAGTTCAAATGATTGCAAGTCTTTGTTCCGATCGAACCGCCATAAAATCTTTTGCAGATGGCGCTGATCTTCTCGAACCAGTACCTGCCGATACATTTTGGCGATGTCGTCACCAAGAACAATATTGTGCTTCCGAAAACGAAGTAGGATCGAGAAAAGATCATTTTGGATAGTAGGGCCGATCATCATAATGTCGTTGACCGAATATCCCGAGGTGGACTTGGCGGACCCGTCAAAAACTACCCTTAGTTTAGTCGTAGTACTATCATTTTTCATGACACAATGATGCGGCATGAAAAACCCAGTGTTGTCTTGATTTCGGCACAATGACATGTGCCCGAGATCGATATATTCGCGGATGAATGCGTGATATTGATACTTCAAAGTAAGATTTCGTTCGAGTTTCTGTTCAAGATTAACAAATCGTTTTTCTGCTAGAGATTTAGATTCGCCGAGGCTTGACTCGGGAAGTTTCAAGGGGATGGCAACTACAAAATGGCCGTCGATGTCTTGAACTGTTTCTTTGAAGTTTTGTTCGCACATTTCTTCGTCTTCAGAAAGAAATTTTTTGCTAGGAATCTCCTCTATTTCCCAAAACCTTGTTAGGGTTTTGTCTAAATTGTCTACGCTGAGGTTACAAACGACACGAGGTTGGCATGGTGAGGCTGGTACAGGGCCTGATATTATCCAGCCTAATTTTGTCTTTTGAAGGATTGGCTGATCGCGTCCGAGCTTGATCTGCCCAATGGATATAAGATCCCAAAATAAGTCTGCTCCTATAAGGAGATCGATATGGCTAGCTTTAAAAAAGTTAGGGTCTGCAAGAGTAATATTATGCGGTAAGCTTAGAGAGCTTTTGTCAAAACCAACATCTGGCACGTTTCCAGTGATAGAAGGTAGAATCAAACACGATAAAGTAATGTGAAAACCGCTAAATTTGGATCGGATTTTGACAAATGTTCTGTGTGAGACCTTGGTATCTGATTGACCAATTCCAGATATATCAAGGTTAATTTTGGATTTTTGCAACTGTAAGATCTCGCATAAATTTTGAGATATGAAATGATTAGTAGATCCACTGTCTAGTAAGACTCTACATTCATGTGTGTTACCAAATGCATCTGAAGCATCAACAATAGCCGTAGATAGTAAGATCTGAGACGATTTGTTTGCATAAGAATGATTGGAAGATAAAGAAACAATGTTATTATTTCTCGCTAGATTTCTGGCTGGCCGGTTCACATCGGCAACGTCGCGTTCGAAGGCAATGCGTTCTCCGCGCTGGCTCGCGGCACCGCGCTCAGCTGTGGCTGTGGATGGCGTGGGCGCATCAGCGGCAACGGCGGCTGCGTTATGACGCCCATTGTACTGACGCCGAACGGCAGGCGGCGAAGGAGGCGCGTCGTGTCGTCGAGCTTCAGGTTTGCTAGGAAAGTGCAGTAAAGTATGATGAGGCTTGCTGCAATATTTACAGAACATGGACTTGCAATTATTCACGTTGTGTCCGAATCTCAGACAGTTGATACAAAGATTGAGGCGCCTTGTTTCATTAAAACGCTCTGTGGGGGGTAAGCGAATAAACTCTTGGCACATATAGATTGAATGATCCCTTTTACAAAACGCGCATGACGTATTTTCGTTGTGTGTAGCTACAAATGCCTTGGGCTTGACGTGCTTATTGAACGATTGATTTTGTCTCGCTTTATCATGGTTCATTTCGAAAGATTCCAGATTTCGACACTTGTTTTTTAGAAATTCTGAAAATTCCGTCATGGTAGGAAGTTCTTGCGTTTTGCTCCGCATTTCCCATTCGCGGCGAGTAGCGTTATCTAGCTTGGAGGAAATAAGGTATATGAGTATTGAGTCCCAGTGCGAGACAGGTAGTTTCAAAACCTCCAAAGCTCGCAAGTGTTTCTGTAGGCTGTCTACTAAGTCCCGTAGGTTAGCATAGCCTTCTCGTTGGATGTTAGGTATGTCAAAAAGTGCTTTTATATGATTGTTGACTAAAAGTTGCTTATTTTCGAAGCGTTCCTCCAGTAAGTCCCAAGCTACATTATAATTTTGATTTGAGATTTCGAGAGACTTGATTGTGTCTGAGGCGCTACCTTTTAGTGACAATCTCAGATAATGAAACTTTTGTATGGGGCTTAGGGCATCATTGTTATGGATTAAAGAGCGAAAGGTATCTCGGAAAAATAGCCACTGATCGTATGATCCATCAAAATGTGGGATATTCAAGGCCGGAAGCTTGATAGCCTGCAAATCTGGCTGCACAAATTGTGGAGGGGAATGTAAAGCCGCATTGTTTCCTAGCGATGGGCGATGATCGTTCAAAAATTGCTTAGTTTTTGATGTAATTTCGTAAAAGGCATTTTCAAATTCAGCACGCGCTACTGAATGAACTGATTCAAAATTTCCATCTGAATCTTCGATTTTTTCTTGAATTTTGCGACAGAAGCTAGTCTACATTCCAGTTCTGTGATATCTGGATTAGATTTTTGACTGATGGTATCGAAATAATTATGAAATCGAGTAAGAGTACCCTTTATGGATGCAAGTTTTTTAGCATTACCATTAGGCATTATGCGTGAGTGAGCGAGAACGAGAATGAGGGTAAATTCAGGTAGGTAACCAAGCCGTAACGACACAATTTAACGTTAGCGACAAATGCGAAAATTTGAGTGCTCCAGAAATAACGAAACAATATGAAATACGAGAATTTTTAAGCGACAATGTGTGAGCTCAAGGAAAAACGACAGGAATTTGAGATATGGAACGCACCAACCTTTTGTGTGAGTGTGACGATCTTCGATGGCGATTCCCAATGATGGCGGCTTGTTGTAGGTCCCGTGGTCGCTGTGCTTCAGGCCGGCCAGGGCGATTTCAGGAGTTTCTGACTTCGATCTGGCTCGTAGGATCAAATGTTATGTGCGGCAAGGACACATCCGTTCCAGTCTGGTGGTAGGTTTATTTGAGTTTACAAAAGTGGACTGTATTTGATTTGGTAAATGAGTGACAATACAAATTTCTTGAACCTCTTGATGCGTTCTATCTCGACACCTCCAATGTTGGTCGCGGCGCTTCGATCTCCTGGTGTCTCCGTCCCCATTGGCTGGATTCAAAAACTGTCAGGCAGCGCTTGCGCAGTGGTCGTGGCTGGTACACAGTGGCGCGCGCGCCAAATGACCATTGGCGCAACAGTAACCGAGTTTGAAAGACTGAGAAGAAGGGAAATACATCGAGCAGTGAACAATGACAGAGAAGAGTCAGGCTTTGCATACAAATACCTATTATTTCCTTATAATTTTCGTTCCAACAACAAATTCATGGCCAATCAAGAAAACGCGTCACTAAATTTAGGATTGAAAAGCTAATTCCAATATACCTTAGCGTCCGTATGAAAAAACAAAGTTAGTCATGAAAGTCGAAAGAAGAGACCTCGAATTGAAAGTTTGACTACGCCATTTTGTAGAGGAGAATAAGTGGCAATGACAACATGCAATTTATGGTGAAAGCCCATTTCAAATAAAGTCAGGAAAAAATAAAAATAACTTTGCCGTAAGTCTGGTATGCGAAACAAATGACTATCTGATAATTTCAAGACCTACCTAGAAAATTCTGTTTTATTTAAATATCTAAAGATTTGGTAATGCCAATCAATGTATGACATCCTATACATTTTTGGATTCAGAATTAGAAACTATTCATCTGTTCAAAAATCCAATATGGCGTCGGTAAAAAATAAAGTTGATGCTGGAGGACAAGAGGCAAAACGTCATATTGAATTTTTCATCTTGCAGAGGAGAGAAAGTGGCGGTGCGATGATAATGTAAAATTTATTTTAAAATTCCACTACAAATAAGTTCAGGAAAAAATCAAAACGATTTTTGAAAAATTAGGGTTTTTCCGCCTCTCTGCGGATGTACTTTGAATTTGGAAACTTTCTAAGCGGCATTTTGTTAATTACCCAAATACCCAACTTTGCCCACATTTAAGCGACTTCGTATCTCTTACAGTTTCCGAAACCCCACTGGTGAAGGTCGAATTTGAAACACCCGGTTTATGTTTATATGAGCTTTTTTGGTTATTGTTGGATGTATTTTATTTTCTTCTCTAGAAGTATTGCCATTGTTTCTTGAGTTATCCTCTATAAACATGTATATTATTGTCCTCAAAAAAGCAAAATGCTGCATTACCTTTTGGGAGGCCCTTTATATTTATGTTTATTGAAACGATTGAGAGGCTTTATATAAAATTTGCGTTATTATTTAAACAGTTTTCATTTCTTCAGGACTCATCGAACAACAGCGCTCCCCGTTCCAACACCGTAGGCGTCCCCGGCGGTGAAGAAGCCCTGCCGAGCCCTCCTTCGATCAGCACGAAAGGTTCTGAATCGGGGTACAACTCGGACAAGGCCGAGGGGGGCGTAGGCCCAGGGCCGCAGGTATTGGGAGACACGCCACCCGACGCGCGCGCAGTCTCCCCTTCGGCAGGGGACAGTGGCGTGCCGTCGCCGCAAGCGGGGGCTGCGTCTACGCCCGAGGATAGGAGCCCCGACTCTAGTGAGACCAATGTGGATATGGGGAGTCCGCAGGCGTGTTGTGGGAACAACAGTCCGAATGAGGAGTAAGTGTTGTGGTTTTTTTATAGTGGAGAACTTCAATATTGAACATTTATTAATTTAATCAATCGTAGTTGTGATTTTAACTTACTTATTGGACAGAACTCAGGCCGTAAAAGTTAATAACAATCATCATTATGTTAAATCTGATGCCAAACCTGATTCCACAGGTGCATCACAAGGAAGTAACTTGGGTCCACTTTTATTCATTTTGTTTATAAATGATATGCAAGCTGCATGTCCTGATATTTTCAAATCGGTTTTTGCGGACGACACAGCCTTCAGTACTCATGCTTCTGACCCTCAGATACTAGGTACACGGACAAATGCTGCTTTTACTCAAATGAGTGAGTATTGTAGGTCCAATGGCTTCGTACTGAATGCACAGAAAACGGATTTGGTCCTATTTAAGAATAGTGTGTGAGAGCTATTGGAATTGTCTATAATATAAGGCAGAATAGCTATTGTAAATATCTCTGTACTTGTATGGACTCAAAGATGACTTTTTTAACTAAATTGATCACTTGGTCAAAAAACCATCAGTTCAATCATTCATCATGTGACAACTCCGGCAGTATGTAAATATCCAACTGTTCGAGTCGAAGACAAGGATTTTTGCAGCTGCACGAATCACATGGTACGCGGCAACACCGGCTGCTGCTGAACATGAAAACCTCTTTCATCGTTGTACTAGGGGAATTTACATGCGATTATCTCCGCGGAAATGGCGGCCGTTTTTGACACTGATGGGAGAGTTGTAGTTCTGATTCGGCGTCATCAAGATGATTATACTGCCATCTAGAGCATTCCATTAGGGTTTTCGACTAGGCATGGAAAACGCTGGATTATTTCTCGACTCGTCGATAGGGGAATAAATATATTGTAGGCAGAGATAGTGGAAGGAGGACAGTCAGTCAACGGACAGCATCCGATCAGTCACAAGCCTTAGTCGAGTCGGCATGGTTATAAATTTGTTATAAATTAGTTGCAAGTGTTATGATAAATTAGTCTAAAAGAAGCAAATTATGCTTTGAACCGTAAGAACAGTGTTTTCGGAGTTGATCATGGATATCACGAATCTGATTTAATAATAATAATAAATTCAATCATCCTTTAGATTTTTACAGATATTGGACTTGTCATCATAATAGGATGAATAGGTTAAACAATGGCATCTATGACGATTGATGAAACATTTTTTTGGATACACATGAACACAATCATGTAGATAAACATTAGAGAGACAAATAATACACGATTTACTGATTTAAAAATTCTTGAAAGGAATAAAAGCAGCTGCGTAAAAAATCCTTTAACGAATTCTTGAATGAAGTATCATATTTAGGACATTTTATAGATGTTAGCAAGTAGTTATAAGGTTTTTGGCCCACGTATACCGCACTACTTTCATACAAAGTTGTATTATGCTTGACAGATTTTAAAGATTTGTCACTTCAGGTACTATATTTATGTTTTTTTTTTGATATGTGTTCTTTTCGCGAACATAATGCATTTGTAAATGTACACTGATGGCAGGGTATCTTATAAGTTTTGAATGATGGTCGAAATGATTCCATGGGTTTTAAACTAAACATCGAATAATTCTTTTTAGCATAATGAATACTGGGCAAGGATGAATTACTTCACAGTACCAGCTCATATCATTGTCAACATGTAGACCAAAACATTTTGTTGAGTCACTGATGATAACAATATTAAAATTGATAAGGATTTCTAAATCGCCAATTTTGATTCAAGATCTAGAGCCATCATAGCACTTGATGCAAACAGTTTTGTTAGAGTATACTATCAGGGAGTTCCTTTTATACCACAATGTGAACTCTCCTGGTATTGTTACCATCTTGGTTAGAAGTTCTTCAGGGGTTTCAGCATCAACAGCTATGGTTGTATCAGCAGCGTTATGTTGCTTGCAGTGATGTAAGATGGTAGATCATTTAGAAAAAGAATGAATGAATGAGGTACACCAAGAGGGACACTCATAATGAATACTGTACAAAACATTCTCGACTAAATAAATACGACTTGAGCCATAACAGGATATTACCACAAAAGCCAATGCTAGACAACTTTTTCTCTATAAGGTTTGGGTCGTTTATATTAAATGCCTTTCATAGATCAAAGAAGAGTGTTTCCTCCTATCAAGACAAGTATAGAATGTATATGTGGGAAACCAAAATTACGAATGGTATATTTTATTTTATCTCTCACCCAGTTATAGAAAAAATCTAATATCTTGGCATTTTATTTTTGCAGTGTCTTCGAGAACTTTGACTTTGAAAGGCCACAATCAAGGCTCGCTTTCGCTAACACTGATCTCAAGATGGACTTAGAAAAACTTAGTTTATTGAATGATGGTGATTCCTCCAAAGTCAACAGTTTGTTTCATCATGAAGAAATGGACAGTGATCTTAAAGGTGCTTGTGGTCCTGTGATAACAGAAGATGAAAAGGTAATATTTGGAAAAGAATTACTATATTTTCAAAGTCGCGGAGCATCGCGACATCTAGCAGTTCATTTATAGATAGATAAATATGCTTTATTATCTAAATAGTCACATGATCCTTCCGTTTTCCTTTTTTTACTGAAATGCTGAAAGCAAATGAAAGCCGCCTGAGATATAAACTACTTTTTTTCACTATTAACGCATGATATCGTCATTATAACGACCGCAATGCCTCATTGAGAAGTACTATTCGCCAATAACCTAACAATTTATCACCTAATTTATATGATGTACCGAATAAGTTGGATCCTAGGCTACGCCACTGAATGACGCTTGAACGTGTGACCTTTCAAATCATATGTTCCCCAAAGTCAGTCATTTTCAGGCTTTGTTTATACACGCACCGCACTTCCCTGACATGTGCGCAACGACTTTTTCTGATTTTATGAAGCAATCAAGAGTTGTCTGTTTTTTTAGTAGTCGGTGGTCAAATGTTTGTTTCTATAGTATAAGCACCTTTTTCAAGTAATTTTGAAAACAGACACAGCAAATTTGTATCCGATTCTGCTTTCAAATAAGGCAAAGTAATAGTTTAAACGCTGTGTTGCTGTATTTTACCCTACATTCTAATCAATTGCTTTTACTATACAGGTAAAATCTTTGCCAGTTGAGTCAGCAATTTTCCAGTGTGAAAATTGGCCACATGTTTACATAATAACTGTGAATTTTGAAGGTTTAGAAGATAGATGAAATTCGCCATACACTAAGCACTAAGCAGTGATTCACTAGTAGTAACAATTTCTCTTCTATAATGTTGATACATTATTTTACAGGTTTCTATTTGAATTTAGTTTTGGGGTAACTTTTGTCCAATTATAGATGCTTATTCTCTGGAATTGGTTAATAGTTGAATTATAAGATACTTTCGTTAGACGATTGATTAATGTATTGTACCTGAAAAATGCCAACCTAATATATTAATAATATATTCCAGCATCCAAAAACCTATCTGATACTAACGCCATCTATGAGACAGTAGCATGACTCAAAAATCTACTATGAAAATGTCTTGGGTATCTTCAGGTGGCATGTGTTGATCAATTCTTGAATATACCCAAATAAAGTGGTGCCAAAAAGTAATTAAGATCTCAGTGCCATCTTTGAGGTAGTAGGAGGACCAAATAATAACTCTTTCCAAATGTTTCTAGATTAATTTTTGTAATCTCTATGCTTGTCTGGCCAATATCCACATATATTAACAGAATCTTTAATGTAAACGTTTCAATCACAAAGATGGTGTTCTTCATTGAAACATTTACAATAAAGAAGATTCTGTCAATACATGTGGTTTTATTGACCAGACAAGCATGGAGAATTATCAACATGTAAACCTCAGGATAAATTTCAGATGTTACATCATTAATTATTCTGTTCTGCTACAGCCTCATATACAGGGTGTAACCTAAAAGAGGTGTTGAACGTGACCACCTCTGGATTCAACAGAAGAAAAATAAATATTGGCACGTCTTTCTGAAACACCCTGTATAGCACTAGGATTACATATACGTTTGGATCCACATTTTCGAGAGATTCCACTTACTATATTTTCCATAAAATATTTGTTCCTTCGTTCTGAAATTATTTCTTCTTGACTATGTCTTCCTTGAAACGCCTTTTGGATAGTTATTCCTTTTAACCGAGAGGTACAATATTTTCTAGTATTCTCATCACATTTTCCTATTTTCTCAGATGGAAGAAGACGAGTACATGATGGACAGCCCCTCATGGCTCGGCACCATGTCCGGCGGTCGGTATCAATGCGAAGAAGGGGAATGTTCGATTCAATCCTGCCTGAACCAGTTCACAGAGTGCGAGTTAATGGCCGGTAACAACCGGGTCAGTTGCGAAGTGTGTACCAAAAAAAGTGGTCAAGGCAAAACGGTGTACACGGACGCTAGCAAGCAGTTGCTCATCTACAATCCTCCAGCAGTGCTTATTTTGCATCTAAAGAGGTTCCAGGTAAGACTCGAGGAGAGATTTCATATTGTCAATGACCTCCAAGAATCGAACACTCGCAATATTGAAAAACTACTGTTACTGGTATAGGCGCCGAAATTCCACGTGCTCCTCATATTTTAATTTTGTTAATATCTCTTGTCTTTTTCAGGTTTTTCGACTCCGCTCAGCCAAAGTATCAAAATTCGTGAAATTCACCACGCTGTTGGACCTTGCACCGTTCTGTTCGAAACGGTCGCAAAACCTGCCAACATTCGAGGCTGGCCAAACTAGGGTATTATATTCATTGTACGGGGTGGTGGAACACAGCGGCTCTATGCATGGAGGTCACTACGTTTCTTATATTAAAGTACGACAACCTTTGGATCAAAACAGTTATAGGTAAGAATAATCAAATTAGTAGAGTTAGAGTATAAGCAAAAATAAAAATAATGCAATATGTAGATTCATTTGAAGGTAAAAAACAATTTTGTTAGTGTGTAGAAAATAATGGAGGCTATTTCGAACGGTTGCTTTAGCAATAGAAAATAGCGTATCTTCCACGTTTGTCAATGCGTCGCCATAACCTCAATAGCTTCTTTACCTGTAGGTGCAAGGAATATATTGCGATTCTTATGTTTATCGCATTACAACAAATGTGAAAGGTTCGTAATGCTTATTTCTGTGATTTTTAGTTCATAGATTGCAGCCTACCAATAGTAATGTAAGAGTTTTTGCAATAGAATGCATTTTAAAAAAACAACCCTAATTTTTTTTACCGCATTCCAAAATTGAGTGACGCAAAAAATTAATATTTATTTATTTCCATTTTTAAATATAAAAAATATGTATCTAACAAAAAAAAAACAGTCAAATAGTAAAAAATAAGATTTAACGGCACAATATTCTTCCACACTATAAAAGCTATTTTCAATTGAATAACCTTTTAAGAGATTCTTAAATGTCTCTAGATTATGGCTATTCTTTATTTTCAAATGCAGTAGATCAACAATTTTTAGGAGATTAATGTTTGGGAACTTACACATAATTCGAGTTGTATAGAAGTATACACTAATCCTCGTATTAATTGAATTGCATTTGGCCGGGTGTTGAGAATTTTTCTCTATTTTCAAATATATATGGTGAAATTCAAATTTGGCTGATAACGTAATGTGTACGTGAGAGACGGGCGATAAGCGTGCTATGTGTATGTTAAAAAGAGTGCGCCAATGGCTTCCGTGGCAGTCTTACTTGGTTGCTATGCGAGGAGGTGCTTCTATATCTTAGTGTTAGTACTTTGAATCTCTGAAACAGATCTCTACATGATGTTCTAGCACTAACACCTGCTATACATCTGATAATTCTATTTTGTTTCATGAACGCATCCTTTGAATTAGTAGAGATCCCCCAAAATGATATGCCATATCTTATGTCAGAGTCAACCTGTGCATGATACAAACGAATTAATTGATTTAATAGTAGAAAATCTCTTAAAGTTAATAACAGATGATCTAATGAATAGACTTTTTGCTTTGATTTTTATTGAGCTATGCAAAAATTCGTAAAACGAACCAATCAGCTAATATTTACAACAAAATCGTAGCCGTAGACATAACAGTTGTGTTGTATTTGCGTTTGAAAGACCTTAATCCGGTTTTTCTCAGAGTTTCACAAAATTATCTTGTACTAGAGAATATCGGATCAGATACAGGGTGTCCGCAAAGTTGGGGTTTTCCTTTTCAGAAACAACTACCCTTGAAATAACAAAGGTAATGTGTAGTGAAACGAGGGCGACCAAGTAAAAAAAAAAATAAAGGAAAAAGTACTCACTCTCCAGTTGACGAGAAGGGCTAAGTACGTCTCTGCACGAAATCATACCGCTCCAACAGAAAATGAAATCAGCTGATGCGCTACCGAGCAGACGCCGGCGGTGGTGCAGACCACGAACAGAGGTAACAAATAAGACGACGTTGCCGCGTTTTCAGTTTTTAGGTAAACGTACTTTATAGGTATTGTTCGAAGTTATCGCCGTTTGATTCAAAAACACAAGTGCGTGCACGACGTAGCCAAGCATCGGTGCAGGCTTTGAGAATGGAGTCCCTCCCCCGAATGAAAGCACCAGCTTGTTCAATTCTGAGACGAAGTTCGTCAACCGTATGTACTTCAGTTTTGTACACTAAGCGTTTCATTTCTCCCCAAAGAAAAAAACCACATGGTGTTAAGTTTGGAGATCGCGGAGGCCACGCTACGGGTCCATTACGTCCGATCCACCTATTCGGAAATAATTCATTCAAAAACTCGCGCACTTCGCGTCTAAAATGGGGCGGTGCACTATCGTGCAGAAACCACATTGATTGTCTTATACTTAATGGCACATCTTCTAACAAGGAAGGCAAAATGTTGCGTAAAAAGTCTAGGTATTGCATCCCGTCCAATAGATTTGGGAGAATAAATGGTCCAATGAGCATACCGTTCACCATGCCAGCCCAAACATTCACCGAAAATGTTTGTTGAAAATGTGCCCGACGGACAGCGTGCGGATTTTCTACTGACCAAACATGAGTGTTGCGAAAGTTATTCACCCCATTACGCGTGAACGTAGATTCGTCTGTCACCAATATGCACTTCAAAAAGTCTGGATTATTGTCATGTTAATGCAACAACCACTCACAAAACCGCACTCTTGCTGGAAAATCGTCAGGTTGAAGGGCTTGTACACGTTGGACGTGAAACGGATACAGCCCCTCTTCACGCAGCGTTTGCCACACTTTAGTTTTTGATACTTGCACGTCTCTAGCCACGTCTCTAGTGCTTGTTGTTTTTTGAAACGCAATCGATTATACCGGTTCGTTTACCTCTACACGCGTGACCGTAACCGTCGGTTGAAGGTTGTATACTGACCTGACACACTGACCCCGACCCAGTTCTGTCGTCGGGTTGAGCTAGTGTCCTAGTACCACTCGGGGATGTCGCGGGTCGCGGCTACAGGACGGTATTAAGATATTTTTGATGTTGCAGAGCCCTTTATCTCGGTTCCCTTAAGAGATTGGTGTATATGGTACTAAGAAAAATTGCTTACGTTTTCAAGATCTACACGTCGTGTAAAGGAAAACCCCAACTTTGCGAACACCCTGTATATAGGAGTTCAATCGATAGATATTGATATCGACTGACTTTCATTGATCCACCCATAAATTTACACCATATACAGGGTGGGGCAGAAAGACTTCCCCGATTTCTAGAGCCGATAAAAACTGATCAAGATATAGAAAAAAATGTATTTTTTTAATGCATATATAATGCCATTTTAAGTCAATGCATTTTGCAAATGACATCACTGAAGTGTGTGCCTCCATTGTTGATACACTGAGTGACCCTCTCCCGATAATTTTTCATCATTCTGCTGATCATGTCAGGCGGAATGGCAGCAGTTCCCGGATTATCGTCTTCCTGAGAGTGTGTCTAGAATTTGGGGGCGATGTTGGTACACTTCTTCCTTCAGGTAGCCCCAAATAAAAAACTCACAATGGACCAAAGTGAATGCGAAAGGCATGATGCGCCATTATCGTCGAACCTCCATTTCGAATAAACTCATCAACGACGAAAGTGAGGTGCGGTCCTGACCAAGCCATGATTTATACTAAAAATGACAGCAATAGACACGTCGAATGGTATATCCTCCACTGCGCTATCCCCCTCCCCCATTGGCGTAGCTAGACGGTTTCCAAATCGGGGAGGTCTTTCTGCCCGACCCTGTATATTGGTGAATATACTGTATTTGGGTTTGAATATACGGTATTTAGGTTTTGAATGTCAGCTAAGAAAAATAGCTTATTTTGGTTTCATATTAATTGTGTCACAAGATATGATAAGTGATTCATATTTGACAGGGTCAGATCGTTGGGTCAGATATTATTTTAATTTTGACAGCTTTTGTAGGTGCCAAGGGAAAATATGTGTTCAGGGGATGACATTCAAACTACGAAAAATATACTTTAAACGTGATATAAATACTATTAGTTAAGTAAATTCAATAGTTCTTTATTAAAAGTAACAATCTTCAGTTCAATTGGTCTTGACATAAGAGAATCATATACACCTTCGGAAAAACCATTATTATACATTATAATGAGGAAGAGAGATGGAAATATACAAAAGTATGTAGGTGCGTGAAAGTCACTCGATTGTAGGATCCTATCTGGCAGCGTCGGAGTGTGACGGACAACGGCGTAAAGTAGAAGAGTGATAAAAGAGAGATGGCAGAACGGGCGCTGGCGCCTGCCGCTTAGACGGATGCGCTCAACAAATGCGATTTGTTTCTCCCATTCGCAGAGTTGCCGATACCAATATCTCATATTTCTAAGAAATCTAAGTCTACCCAAATTTCGGGAAAAATAGCTGCGGATTCCACATAAGAGTATTCCAAAAATGAAAAAAGTTCAAACTATTAAAATTGTATTAATGTTTCATGGTTCAAATCATATTTTTCATGTTTGTATATTGTTGTATAAATGATGTTGTAATCCCTATTCATGTTGCCAGTAGAGATACAACAGTATTGAGAGAAATCATGGACCGCTAGATAGGGCTACAACTACCATATGACTATTAAATAGTAGTGATAAACAGGGTTTGTTTATAGCACAGTTGCCTGGTGTCGCGAATTTGCACCATAGGGGCGATTTGACAACTTTGAAGGACAACTATAACGGTTACTATGGTGCCCGGTATTCGGGAATCTGGCAATACCTGATGATTCCTAACGTTTATTACGCCAGATTGTTTGCTGACTTGCGCAGTACAACATGACAATCAACGTGACTGAGCATCTGGTAACCCTGGTTTAAGGTGTTATATTTAAAGAGCTTGGGGCAGTTAGGTATCTAGGTCACATTTTTTAATGTATTTCGAGAAATCCGTAATGTTGAGTAAATACTAGATCACGTTTCTTGCTTAGTTTGCTGAAAATTCTACAATAGACGTACATTTTGAGAAACAGAGATTTGGTGACGACAAAATCGTAAAAATATAACGCATTTTCGTAAAATAATTTCTTTGTTGAAAAGACTGTGGCTTGATGACCCATTGAACTAGTATAGTGTCCCGCTCCGCTTTGAATATTCGAAACACTATACTCCAGCAGCATTCAGCTTCAATGTTATCTCTATGAAGTTCTAACACTTAACTCTAAATTCCCCACAATTCGGGAAGCTCTACTCAAATTGGCAACACAGCGTATCTGCCTATTATTCTCATTCGTGATACAGGTCTGCGGCCTGCTGCAAATTTCAGTATGCGTTGAGTCGACAGAAGAAGTACAGTAGATGCGCGCATTACGCACGATTGGACGTCCTGTGAACCGATTTTGGTGATTTCGAGATTTCACGAAATCACCTAAATCACTCTACTTATTTTTATGAATGGATAATTGGTTTTGTAGCAATAAAGGTTGCGTCTCATAACAAAAATAAGAAGATACCCACTCTAACAAAAAATAGTACACTCTTAAAAATGTGTAACGAAAATAAAAAGATATTATAACAAAAAAATAAGTTCTCAAAAATAAAACGCAATAATGAACACAAATGTTTCAAATGGTCCTTCACAGCTGGGGCTCAAAAACGTCTCCTTCATTCAATGAACAGTATGTCAGGCGGTTATAAAACTCCTGACGAACTCTCAAGAGGGTAGAAGGCTGTATTTGCCCGAGCGCTTCAACGATTTTCACCTGTAGGTTATATGCAAATTGTCTGCTCTCTCATTGAAAGTGTAAACAGTACTTTTCACATAACCCCACAAGAAAAAATCATTGGGCGCTAGATCGGGTGATCTAGGAGGCCATTTTATTGTTCCGTTACCGCCAATCATCCGGTGGCCGAACACACTTTCAAGGTAAGTGTGTACGATCGCCGCATTATACGCCGGGCATCCATCTTGTTGGAACCAAATATTAGCGAGATCAATGCCAAGCTGCCTAATTGCAGGAACAATCTGCGTCTCTAGTAACGCCAAATATTTTGCAGCCGTAAGAGTTCCATCAATAAAGAACGGTCCGATAATGTCATTACCTAGAATTCCTGCCCACACATTCAGTTTCTGTGGATACTGCGTGCGGACGGGAATACTGAGGTGTTTATTTTCCCGAGACCAATACCGAACGACTGAAGGATTGTGATGACCGTGGAGAGGGAATGTGGATTCATCAGTAAACAAAATGTTACCAATAAAACTTCCATCCCTGTTCGCCTTCTCCATGACCGTTTCACAAAACTCCATTCGACGGTATTTGTCTAAAGGAAATATTTCTTGAACCGTTCCAACCTTGAAGCTATGATAGCCGTTGCGATGCAAAATATTTCTTGTTGTTCTGGGTGTGGGATCGGCTATTGGTACTATTTCAGCAATTTTTCTGCTTGAGCATGGCTCAGATACTTCTGCAGCGGCACAAACAGCGGTTTCGATCTCCTCCCTTTTCTCGCTAATTTTTGGTTTCCAACCTTCAGGGTGCATGCAGCTATGGCACTTATGTAAGCAGCCCACCCTCTTGAATTTTTCGTAGGTATTTATAACCGTTGCGTGAGACGGAATTGGCCGATCTGGGAAGCGTACCGCAAATAATTCAACAACCGCGCGTGCTGAATTATTCTGGATGTACCATTCTATCATTTGAAACTTTTCTTCTTGCGAGTACATTTTTAAGATATTTTGGATTAAATAAAGACGCACCTTTCCTACACAAAACCCAACCGCAGAGTGAGTCATGAATCCCTTATCGCACTTGACGACGGCACGCGCGTTAACGGTAAGAAATATGTACAAATAGCGATGAAAGTAGACGAGCCGATGCGCTGTTGCCAAGAAATGATTTCCCATGTATAACAATGGTTTTTCCTAAGGTGTATATATATATATTGAGTGCTCACAGACCTTCAGGGTAGCGGATGTGTTTGGAAGCTGGATCTTTTTTATAGCGAGACGCAGCCGTTGCATTCACTGTTTATATTTTTATTGTAAAGAGATGAGAAAGTAGAAAAAACAATTGACATGAAAACTGACAGAGAAGTCACGCTAGGGTAGAGACTAAAAGGTACATAACCTCGAAAAAAATTAGGCTATATTATTATTCTAGGTAATTTATGGCTTTTGTATTCAAGTATCCTTGTTTTTTTACATAGCTGCAGTAATGCACCAATTAAATTCACAAAGATATACTTACTAAAGTAAATTCTGGATGAACCACTGGAAAAAGGGTATGTGCGAATACTGAGTGAACAACTGACGCCTTCCTGGTCTCAATAGATCAAATTGCGCAATTGTCTTACACTATAGCCTTAGTGACTTGTTAGTCGGTCTCCTAAGCTCATATCATTCCAATAGAACGCCATCTGTTTATTATAATGGTTATTGTTCATCAAATTATACGCGTACCGCAAGGATCGAACCTAGTCCATTTGCTATTTTTATACTTCATAAAAAACCTTGCTTCACTAAAGTGACACAATCCACTATTTGCATGATCTGAAAATTACGCAAAAATTACAAATTTAGAGAACTGTATTTCCCTTCAGGGGGATCTAGTGGAGTGACAATAATTTTCTCTTCCTAAACATTTCCAAGTGTAGGGTTTGTTCATATAGTATAGTCGCAAAATGAACTGGATTATTTTTTATTATTCCATAAATAATGCGATTTTGTAGAGAACAACAGAGACTGGAGATATTTGTGTACCATTTTCCTGCAGGTTGGACTTTTCTGCAAGCATTACTTCCGAAGCGACACGCTTTTGTAAGATTTATAATGCGTAACTGTTTCCAATTAAGCAGCAATAAAAACTCTTGTTATTTCGCTGGTGCGTCTAAACTTGAGTACGCCTCTTTGATATGGAACCCTTTATATGCATATTATATGAAAATCTACAAAGAAAATGTCTTAAATATTGGAAAATTGATGGCTTATATCCACAAAGGGAGACCAGTCAAAAAGCTTTTGCATGACAAAGTCGATACACTAGCACTTCTCCAGAAGTTGAATTTTTGTAAACCGCGATAAATTCGAGAAAGACTCTTAACTCTCTACTCCAGCACCTCCCGTACCAAGGTATCAATGTATGCACCGCTGAATTCTAAATGCAATAATTACAATTCCTAACAGACAGTTCCAGTATTGATTTCGATTGTGTCAGTAACTTTTTATCAAACTTCGGAGGTTTTTAAGGTCGTTTCTGTTTTCGTTTTCAACTACTTATTTGCAGCAGTATTCTAAATCCTTTTCATCTGATTATTTCAAAAAATGCACTTTTTGTGTTTCTTGTCTTCTTCAATCGTAACTTGGTAACAAATATTAGTACGGCTCTGAAATTGTATGTGAATATTCCACATATGGAAGAATGATTACTTTTATTCTTATCACATTTTCTCTTCGAAAAATCTATGATTTTCTTGAAACCTCATTTTACAGGAAACTGGGTTTTCAAGAAAAGTAAAACGGGAAAGTGATAAGAATAAAAGTAATCAACGGTTTCATTCTCTCATGTGTGGAATATTCAAATATAATTTCAGAACAGAACAAAATGCACAAAAATTCATTTTTTTGTATAAATAAATAACTATATGCGCCAGGTTTTTTAGGTGACACAACTTTCAGAAACCGTTAAAAGTGTTCATTTTCTGCGTTTATACAAATTGTTAGTAACAATACAAAGAGTATTCATATACATATTGGTATACTAGTTACATATAAACAGATATTTGTTGATATTTCTAGTGAAAGTAGTGAATAGAGCACGCCGGAGGAGTTACACATGTTGTTAATTTTCAAGCATATTGTGCCCATAAAGTTTACCTGATTTCATCATATGTTGCAAGTAAAGGATATTTTACACTATTTGAATGGCTTTTTTCTACAATTGATCGATTTGCTCGAGATTTATATATTGGCCCATATACCTTTATATTTAAACCAATAAACTATCAGGTAACCAAATAAGTTCGTGCGGTTGCTGTATATCGCACATTGCCATGGATGTTGTTGATCGATAGGATCTTCGACAGGTTGTGGACGCAAATTCCAGGACAACGTGCCAAGAACTTGCAGAAATGTTCAGAGTGAGTCCTGAAACTATTCGTTTGCATCTTCATCAGCTAGGAAAGACGTAGACGTTAAGCAAATGGGTCCCACATGAACTGACAAATGATAACACATTAAGTCGTCTTACCATTTGTTCAGCAAACATTTTACTAATGCACCATTTCTTAATCGGTTATTAACCTGCGACGAAAAATGTATCTTGTATTCGAATTGTAAGCGTTCGTATCATTGGTTGTCGCCTACTGATTCGGTACCACACACGCCCAAGGCTTCCTTGCACCCAAACAAGGTTTTGTTGTGTGTTTGGTGGACAGCAACTGGAATTGTCCATTATGAGTTTTTGGAAAGGGGTCAAACTCTCACTGCTAACTTGTATTGTGAGCAGCTTCAATGAGTACAAGCAGCACTCATCCAGAGAAATAGCCTTCGTTGATCAATCGGAAGAAAGTGATATTGTTGCAGGAAAACGCCAAGCCTCATACCGAAAAAGTGACCCGAGAAAAAATTTCTGAACTCGGCTGGGAAACATTATCGCACCCTTCATATTCTCCTGACATTTCGCGCAGTGATTATCACCTTTTTTTGTCTCTTGACAACTGTATGAGGCACCGACAGGTCGCAACTCGAGATGGTGTAATAAATGCAGTCCGCCAATTTTTTGACTCCAAATCCAGGGAGTGCCACAATACCGGCATACAAAAATTGGTTCCACGTTGGCAAAAGGTCATTGAATGTGATTGTAATTACTTCGACGAATAAATATAGTGTCTTACTGTTTCTCAATGAAAATTTATATTTTTCTACTAAAAACCGCACGAACTTACTTGGTTACCTGATATTATGATTTATTTCCCCCTTCCTTAAATTCTGTTTAACTATTTTGTTATCCAGGTGGCAGTACCTGCCAAAGAACCAAAAAGAGAAGCTAGACAACGCGACGAAAAGCGCTCCCAGCGAACCGACGGCACCTTCAGGCAAATGGTACTACATCAGCGACTCATTCGTGAACGAAATATCAGAATCGCAGGTGTTGGGCGTACAAGCTTATTTATTATTTTACGAGAGGATCCTGTAGTTATTTCTATTTAGGTTTATTTAATAAATGTAACGAGGATGTAGGTTTATTTTATCAAATCGAACGTTTCTTCAAATAAGTGAATTATTATAAGGCAATGGACAAATTCCTGGAACATTCTTATACAATTACGGGTATTTATTAGTCGGTCAGCGAAAAAATGTAGGAATGGAAATGGCGATTGTACCGGTTTGAGAAACTGTCGGCGCTGTTACTTTTTTCTCTTAAATTGATGATTTGTTTTTGTGGGATATTTAATGTCGCATGTCCCTTTTTTCAACAGCCTGTCTGGAGGAGTATTCTTAATATTTTCGTCTGATTGGTTCATTGTGTGTATAGAGATGAATGAAAAACAATATTATCGGTTTCTTTTTTGTCAAAAAATGCATTTTTGTGCATTTTTTCTTCAACTGTAACTTGTTAACAAATAATAGTACAGCTCTAAAATTGTAGGTGAATATTCCACTTTTATGGAGGAAATGAACCGGTGATTACTTTTTTGTTATCACAATCTCTCTTCAAAAAATCTTTGCTTGAAAACTCAATCTGCTGTAAAATGAGGTTTCAAGAAAATCAAAGATTTTTCGAAGAAAAAAAAATTGATTTGAATAAAGTAATCACTTGCTCAATTCTACTACAAAAGTGGAAAAGCTATATTTGTTAACAAGCTACGTTCGAAGAAAAAATGAATTTTTGACAAAAAAAAATTGATAATATTGTTTTTTAGTCATGTCTATACATACCATGAAACATTCAGATGAAAAGGATTTGGAATACTACTCCATACAGGCAGTTAAACAAAAAAAAAAACGACATGCGACCTTAACGGACAGCCCTAACCATTCAGGTACTTTTTAAAATTTGGTGGCGGTTATACATTTTTAGAAAATGGTGAGTATTTTTTATAAACTTCTGCATTGCACAAAGGATTAATTTTATTTCATATTTTCTGTTGCGCAGTTTTTTGTGATTTGGAATTTTAAAGGTATTTTCATAACTTTTAACATTTACCGAGAAAAATATATCGCTATTGAATAAATTAGAAAATTACGCGATAATAATTGTACATTTGGCGTAGATAATGCGGTTGTGCTTTAGTATTTTCAATGAATATATTCCAAACTTACAGCTCAAGAAGAAAGGGTGTCCATTTAAGAAAAAAAAAATACAAACTTAATGAAAAGAAAAAAGTATTACTGTCAACATATTCTTAAACTCGGCAGGTTTTATTTCTTAAATATAATTCCGTCCAAATGTTTGCCATCACTCTTCTAATCGCGCGCGCAAATTCTGAAACACTTGCAGAGTTTATTTCTCGTCGAATGTTGTCTTTAAGCTCCTCCAGTGTTCATGGATTATTGGAATACACTTTCACAAAAAATAATCACATGGCGTGAGGTCGGGTGACCTAGGAGGCCAGTGAATGTTTCCAAACTTTTATATAACTGTTTGAGAAAAAAGTGCTTTCACTGTGTCCATCGATTCTCTGAAAGTATGGCAGTGGCCGGATCCTTTTGAAACCATGTTTATCTGTTGAATCGACGTTTCAACATCCGTTCAGCACAATATTTCCTTAATACGTTATCACTTTCCTTTAAAGCATGGACTGATTGGATTTTATATGGATGATGCCATGCAGTGTTGACCTAGGGATTCCCGAAGCAGCGGAATGCTTCCGAACAGAACGGCGAGGATTTGCAATGACCGAATCACTCACTCGACGCACATTTTATTCGGTTGATACAGTAGGTGTGGGGCCAGGAATGGGTTGACAAGCCTGTTTCACGGAACCTCTTGATCCACTTTTTCAATATGTTCTTACTTGGGGCATCTCTTGGTCGGCGAATGTTGTATCGTATACAAAATTTAAGAAGGGTAGCTGCCTATGAATCACCACTCAAGTAAGCCTCGATAGCAAAAGCACGTTGCGCCCTAGTCCAGCGTTTCATTGTGACTATTTAACCCGCACGCCGAACGCGTCGATTAAGACCTCTTCCCACTTCCTCGCGTTTAGGTTGCCGCGTAATTCAAATTTGAAATCTTAACTTTCCCACTGTGATACCATCATTATTTTCCGCCCGCATTTCTTTGCCTTTCATTCTCTCGCTGGCCAGATCTGTGGCAATTTTTTTTACAAATGGGTGATCCACAAGCATACGGAAAATATATCTAGATACCTTTGGTGCTTTGGATAAATTTTGGATAGCTTCCTTGATTCGAAGATACACGGCAAAATAAATGTTGAAGCGATTGGTTCAATATCTTTAAGTTTTTTTTGCTAAAAAATCCTCGTTTCTGGCTCAAATGGATCTAAAATTTTCCAGGAATTTGTCCGTATCTAAAAAAGACTTTTGCAAAACTGCCCAATAGAAATTAAATCTTATAAGGTTCTTAACTTTCTCTTTGTACTTCAGTAAACTTTGTATCATGAAACTTATCATAGTAGGAATCAAAATAATATTACATTACAGTTATTGTGAAACAGTTGCAGTTCTTATAACATAGATTTTTTCAAAATTCGTTTCTCCATTTTTCATGTTTAAAAGGAATTATTTTTAAAGTGAAACAGAAATCAAGCACTATTATTTACAAAATCTTGGTGATATCATATTCAGTTCTGTATTTCCAAAAGTAGCTTACCATGTTTTAACACATACATTACAAATGCTTCATAGTCAAATAATTATTGCCAAAGGTTTAATCACCAGACATTCAAATGCTACAGTTTGAAAACAATTATATTTACTTGTATCCTTTATTCTGGAGTTCTCGATGATCTTACCTAAAACTTCAAAGTAATAGGAGACGATACACTTAATTCTGATACTGAACCCTTTTATTAAAAAACAGTTGTCAAGATAATAGACCTTTATAGAGTTTATCTCGGTGATTGATATGTTGAAAAGATCCAATCTGATTTTTGTACAGTGCTATCCAAGATTTATAGAATCACGAACGAGAATTTTTTTATAGGTAATAATCCTAAGATTCTATGTTAAACATCAACATTTGACATATTATATATTTTCATCAATTTAAGGTAAAATCGTGTATATTTATTTACAGCTGTATAATTTTCTTCAAGCAATTATGTCCTCAAATGTGATTTAAATGAATTAAAAATAAATTGAAAACATAGTTTTATTTCTCATATAAAGAAAAAGAATATTGTATAAACCTTTGGAGTATAGTTACATAACAAAATAACATATTTTTACTTAATTTGCATTGTAGTTACTCGATACATAAACATTATTTCATAGACATTTTTTGCACTTCAAACTAAAAATCTTATTCTCCTCTAATCATCCGTTATTGTGCCTGTTTCTTAAAGCACTTCATGAACTGTTGGGAGTGACACATAGAATAACAAGTCTCAAAAAAATAAGCCAGATTTCAGGAGTAATATTAACACCTGGTGTAATAAAACATATCTAGCCTTATTTTTTTAATGAAGCTCTTTATTGAACAAAAAAGTTTTTATTTATTGATATATTTATGTAAAATAGGTTAAAATAAAGCGAAAAAACATTAAAAACCCAAATTCATATTTTTGACAAATACCCCACTTTGCTCCACAATGTTTTTTTCATGTGACAAACCAAATAAACTCGATCAAAAGTTTCTTCTTTGAGAAAAACCTAGAGAATAATTATACACGTTTCATCAGGGCATTTCAACGTCACTCAAACATCCAAGGGGTGAATCTTTGGATCATTCTAAAACCCCCTAAACGATAATATTTTATTTATTTCGCACTCCGCGTCAGGAAAACTTAATATAATTTAACTCAGAACCCATTACTGACAGCGAAGACAGAGTTGTCCATTAAAAAAGACTGATTTTCAAGTGCATCCTTTAAGAAAACGACAAAACAGTCTTAGAATAATCAGAATAATCAACCCTAACATTTTTGGCCCTTATTTTGGAAACCCGCTATATTTAATTTTTTGATTCGAAAAGACTCATCACGAAGGAATCATGCCCCTAGACCTTTTCCAGCTAGCCCCACTTTTCCTGTTGTGGTTTGCCTTGGACGACTTCTGGGTCTCCTTCTTATCTCTAGCCTTCTGCACATTTTTATCCTGTCCATGTCCTTTCGGTTTGCCCTCAACGTTAGCCTTCTGTTGAGGATTTTTTGGGGGATGTTTTGATCTGTACCTCTGTTCCCGCCTCTCTCGAATCACGGCTGGGTCTTCGCAGAAATTCAACTTGGAACTGAAAAAAAAGATTGTTATACTCTAACAGTTGAGGTGATATTGAATTCTGTTATAGGAATGTAGATAATAAAGTATTTAACCTGTTATCTTTAGGAGCAGCTTTATTATCGACATGCTTCCCTTGATCATCATACTCTTCATCAGACGAGTAGCTGGTGTCACTTGCCAATTCCCCCCTATTAGGATTGAACGTAGGAAGGGAGGGCTCTCCTTCATCGATGGGATTATCAGCTACCTTCATAGGAACATGATCAAAATCTCTGTCGTCGTATTCATCGTCGTAAATGTAATCATTGCTGTATTGGCTGAAATCAGAAAATCATGAATTGATAAAAAGTAGCATTAAGGAAGCTATACTAAACTCTACAGTATAGTTGAAAATTGGAAGTCATAAAGAAACAATATATCTTGAACAGGGATAGAATAAAATTATGTTTTTCAGCTTTGAGCAATTAAAGTTTCAAAATTGTATTTTTTCATAATTTCGATCACACGTAGAACCATTTATTTAACGTCTACTAGAAGATAGCTAACCTAATCCCACTTCCAAAAATTTATCCGAAATAAAATGAGATTATCAAAGGTATATTAATTACATTTTTGAGTTAACAACCGATGGAGAAATTATTGGTTCGCAGGCGATACGGCAATTATTTATTTAAAGTTTGGGCTTCTTTTAAAAACAAAACTGATTTGGAATTTTTCACAGGCAAATGTTAATCAACTCCAAATTAAAACGATGAATAGCTCCAAAAACAGAATCAGTTGATATGATTTCAAATATTTATTGGTATTTTTAGATATCTAAGATGGAATATACATTTTGAAAATTTAATAAGAAAATTAAGATAGGTTAGGTTAGGTTTCTTGTCAGTGCATCAATAACGATCCTCCATTGCGACTCTTTGGTCTATTGCGGCTCACACCTATTTATATTTCCCCCAGTAGTTCCGACCTCCTGAGGAAGTCGATCAACTTGTTTGGAGAAATCTCCTTCAGGTCTTCTGCTTGGAGTACTACGTCTCCAAGTATGTTGTACCTGATTCTGGCAATTGCA